TTTTAAAAGATTATACATCATGACCAAGTAGGCTTGGTCCAAGGATGCAAGGATGGTTCAACATACAGAAATCAATAAATGTAATATATCACATAAACAGAAGCGAGGATAAAAAAATCACATGATCATCTCAATAGATGTAGAAAAAGCCTTTGACAAAAATCCAACCTCTGTTCATGATAAAAATCCTGAAGAAAATAGGTACAGAAGGATTTTATCTCAATCTGACAAAACTAACTTGAAACTTAAACCAGAGCAATCAGGCAAGGGAAAGAAACAAAAGAAAGTACATGTAAGAAAGGAAGAAATTTATCCTTTTTTGCAGAAGACCCAAAAATTCCACAAAATACTCCTAGAACTAATAAACAATTCAGCAAGGTAGCAGGATACAAAATCAACACAAAAATCAATAGTGTTCCTCTATACCAATAAAGAACCCACAAAGAAAGAAATTAGGAAAACAATACCATTGGTAATTGTTTCAAATAAATTAATACAAAGGAATTAACCTAATAAAGGAAGTGAAAGACTTCTATAATAAAAACTATAGTACTCTGAAAAAGGAGATTAAAGAGGACATCAGAAATTGGGCAGATATTTCCTGTTCTTGGATAGGAAGAACCAATTTTGTCAAAATGGCCATACTTTCAAAATTGATATATAGATTTAATGCAATCCCAGTAACATTCTGCACAGAACTGGAAAAAAAAAAATCATACAATTCACAGGAATCAGAAGAGACCCAGGATAGCAAATGCAATCCTGCATAACGAGAGCAAAGCAGGAAGCATCACTGTCCCAGATCTGACATACTATTACAAAGATATATAATAAAAACAGCATGGCACTGGCACAAAAATAGACATGTGGATCAGTGGAACAGAGTAGAGGATGCAGAAATCACCCTAGGTACACTCAGCCATCTGATCTTTGATAAAGGGGCCAAAAACACACACTGGAGGAAAAATAGATTCTTTAACAAATGGTGCTGAAAAAACTGGCTTCCCACATGCAGAAGATTGAATCTAGACCCATATATCTCATCATGTACTAAACTAAAATAAAAAATGACCAAAGATCTAAATGTTAAAATAGAAACACTTAACCTGCTGGAAGATAAAACAGGTAAAACTCTTGAAGACACAGAAGTAGGCAAGGACTTTCTGAACAGAACTTGAATTACACAAGAAATAACATCAAGAGCCAAACAGGAGTATATCAAATTAAAGCTTCTGCACAACACAGGAAACTACCAACAGAATGAAGAGAAGACGTAAGAATGGGAAAAAAATATTTGCCAGCTACTTCTCAGACAGAGGACTAATATCTAGCTACAATATAAAAAGACTCAAAAAAATTAGAACCCCCAAATAAAAGATCCAACAAAAAAAATAGGCAACTGGAATGAACAGACAATTCTCAGAAGTACAAATGGCCAATAAATACGCAAAAAAATGTTTGACATCTCTAGGCATTAGGGAAATGTAAATTAAAACAACACTGAAATTCATGTTACTCCAGAAAGAATGGCAATCATCAAAAAATAAAATAATAACAAATATTGAAGAGGCTGTGGGGAAAAAGGAACCTTTCTACACTGTTGGTGGCAATATAAGCTAGTACAACCATTATAGAAATAAGAATAGAGATTCCTCAAAAAACTAAAAGTAGAAAGAGCAAGATACAAGGTAGACAATAGGAAACAGATACATCCTTTGTAGACGGAGGGAGAAAGGGAAGGAAATGGAAAGTAAAAATAATTAAGATATAGTATGTTATATACATGTACCAGCTTCCCACAATGAATGTAATCATTATGTACAGCAGATGTACTTATAAAAACATTTTAAAATAAATTTATTTTATATTTATAGAGGGTCTGATGTACAATGAGGAATAGATTAATTTCTTTAAAAAGATTTGAAAGTATTCAGTGCAAGGATGTAGAAAATAATCTAATGGAAAAAAGATAAGAAAATAAAGAATGATCCTGTAATCCCAGCACTTGGGAGGCTGAGGCAAGAGGATTGGTATGAGTTCCAGACCAGCCTGAACCACATAGCAAGACCCTGCCTCAAAAAAAAAAAAAAAAAAAAAAAACATAAATGCAGAAATCAATAAATTGAAATAACACTATTATATAAGTGCAGGAGCAATCCTTTTGAAAATGACCAAAACCAAAAACAAAGCAAAACAAAAACTTAGAAGTAAGGCTAAGAAAGAGAAAGACCAAACTTTAGTAATGAGAGAGGGTGTAAAACCAAATACAGAGAAGATAAAGCAAAAATGCCATGAATAACTCAATATATTTGAAAAACTTATGGAAACTTTCCTAAACAAATAAATGAAACTTAATTATATATGTAAGCGATGTGGCTGAAATGGAAAAGTTATTAATAATTAAAGTAGCATCAACTCCATTTTTAGATAGCTTTTTAAGGCTCTCTAGAAACAAGAAATATTTGTGCCTTTTAAACATTTCACGGAGCCAGGGATTTAGCTCAGTGGCACCATGCCTACCTCACAAGTGCAAGGTCCTGCGTTCGATCCCCAGTACAAAAAAAAAAAAAAAAAAACCAAAAAACATTTCACAATGTATACATCAAATTTGAAAATTTTGTATTTATTATATATCCAATATATTGATATCTCAAAGAAATTTACTACAAGATTTGTGTAGTCACTGAGAGAGATATCCAGTCTTAGCCACTGCTCGCCAGAACCAAAGGACAAGACTATGAGGATTCTGAGGCTTTCCACCGTGAAGACAGGTTGTTCGTGAAAATGAGTGGAACATGGGGCCAGTCTGGTAATGAAAGCAATGGCAGAATGCGGAAAACATGGAACAGGTCAGAAAACTGGACTTTCGTCCTAGCTCTGCTTAGTAATTCAGAATAACTTTAAACCACTTCTGTGGGACTCAATTTCTTTATATGGTAAAGGAGTTGGAATAAATAAATGGAACTTTTAATAGTTCCATAAATTCTGACTGAGAAGGGTCAATGAGAACTCTAAGATGAGGCAATATACTCATTAGGATGACTGAATAAGACAGCTTTTGGTGTGCCTGCTCAGCCCAAGCCCTCCTTTAGTCTTCTCTATCCACCCAACCACAGGAATGGTGGCCTGAATAACAACTGTTCTCCATGAAAAAAAGTGAGCAATTGAAGCTAGTGTTCAGAGAGGATAATTATACAATTGTTGATTGCTGAGTTTTATTCCTTTACCTGGCTTCCATGAAATACTCCTGTATCTCTCTAATCATTCCTTTTTTTTTTCCCCCTCTTAAACTGGTGCAAATTAGTGTGCAACCAGGGAGATCTACCAAACAGTATGGAACTTCCCCCTCCCCCACCCCCTTCATAACCACCACTCATCTCGCTACAAGTATATGCCTGGCCTCAGGGAGATAACATTAAAACTGAACTGCCAAAAGTTCCTGCCCAGGAATATGCAATTGGCATATAAGCAGAATGAATCAGTGGCACTGGAGTGAAATTGTTACAGAAACCAGCGAGGTATACCGAGGCTGACTGGGAACATGCTAAGAAAAAGATACAGGGAGGAAAAGTAGATAATAGTGGTTGAGACATGTCCCCACATATTCTTTTAGAGGCAGAATGTCTGTCCCCTGCCAAATTCCAATGTTGCAATCCTAACCCCCAGTGTGATATTAAGAGATGGGGCTTTTGGTAAGCAATTAGGTGATAAGGGTGGACCCTCACGGTGGGACTGGTGAACTTATTAAAAACATATGAGCTTGTTCTCGCTTCTTGCTCTCCACCATGAAGATAAAATGAGATGGTCATCCGTAAACCACTGGAAGTAATCCTCACCAGACACTATCATAAGGTACCTTGATTTTGAACTCCCTAGACTCCATAACTGAGAAATAATGGTTACAGCAGTCTGAACTGAGACAGCTCCTTTCAATGAAGTGCTTTTCCTCTCCTTTAAAGCTATAAATTTCCCTTCCCATTAGTCAAAGCCAAATGCAAACTTTTCGAGTGGTTTCATTGTCTTGTGGTAGATTCATGAGCTTATTGTAAACAAATTTTATTCTTTACATATGTGTAGTTTCTTGCACTTCAAGTGCACATCAAGTTATAAAAAGTTGTACTAACAATGGTACATTTAAGAAAGTCCCTTATTGTGACTATTTTGGACTTAAGATTTTAGTTGTTTATCCCACTGCCTTCCTCCTGCCTCTAACCCCAGCTCCCAGCCCCTACCTATTCTTCAAAGAATTGACCAATTACAGTAATTCATAACCAATCTGGTGGTAATTTATAACCAGTAAAACTAAAATAAAAGCCTTTACACATTTAAAAAAATTTATCAAGGAAATTTTGTATTTTAATCTCTAAATCTCTTCCAGGAGTTAAATATTAGTGTTCCTTGGGATAATTAATTTATCATAAACCAGTGTTATGGTTTACATCAAAACCACTGGGGCTAGACATGCTCAGTGGCAGAGCATGTGTTTACCATGCAATCTCCAGCACCAAAAACAAAAACAAAACCTCTTTGATTACAACCTCCTTTAAAGACAGTCACATCACTTGATCCTCAAATTTACAAGCAGTGAGTGGTCAGAACAGAGTGGTCCGAATTATACAGGACCTTACAGGTCATGGCAAAGACTTTAGGTTTTTATGGGGGTTTTTTGCAGTACTAGGGATTGAATTCAGGGCTTTCCACATATTAGGTAAGAGTGCTACCACTGAGGTAGATACCCAGTCCTTCAATTTCTTTCTTTTTTTTTCAAGACAAGGTCTTGCTGTTAGCCACGCTGGCCTTGAACCTGCAATCCCCTGCCTCAGCCTAGGATATGCCACCATGTCTAGACAAAGTCACTAAAGGATTTTGAAGCAAGAACTGGCATTGTCTATCTTATTTTTAAAATAAGAATCACTCTTGCTACATGGAAAAAAAATCTGCATGAAGGAAATATGGATGTAGGGTACCAAAGAGTATACCAAAAGGAATTGGTACCTATGTTCACTAAAAGACACAAAAATTTTCACAACAACTTTATTCATAAAGACCACAAACTGGAAACAATCCAAATTTCCATCAACATTAGACTGAATAAATTGTATTACAGTCATATAATGGAATGCTACACACAGGTAAAACACGTACTGCTTTTACATACAACATAGATTACTCTTGTAGACAATGTTGAACAAAAAACTGCATATAACCATCCAATTTACATATAATTTTCAAACAGGCAAAACAAACTGATGACAATAAAGGTCAGAATATCAGTTATCTGTGTATGGGAGGTATAAAGTACCTCCTGGGGCAACAAATATTTTCTACCTTGATCTGGGTAGTGCATTCAAGGATATATATAAAAATCCACTGAGGTATACACTTATACTTGTAAACTTTTAAGTTTTATCTCAATAAAAAAGCAAAAATATACTGAAAAATTATATAAATGGAGAGATATGTTAAAAGATAGCATTTGTCTTCCAAATATTTCTGGTTTTCCTCTGCAATACATGGGATGATTTATACTTCTTCTTCAACTTTCATGTGGCCAAGGGCTGTAAGGACCTACAAGTTACTTGCCCAAGTTTCTTTTTTCATTTCCCAAAGTGAGCAGCCAAACCTTGATGCTATCTGCTCTGTCAGCCTTTGTCCAGAATGAGGACAATTTAGAGCAGGGACCAGTGATCTTTTTTCTATAAAGGGCCACAAAGTAAATATTTTAAGTATTGTGGGATATCTACTCTACTGAAACTACCTAACTCTACCACTGTAGAGAAAAAGCAGCCATAGACAACACATAAATGGACAAGACTGTACTCCAATAAACTTTTATTTAGAAACACGACATTTTATCTGTGGGCTGTAGTTTGACAGCTCCTTACCTAGCGCAGTCCTTAGCCAAGGTGCAATAGACAAATTGTCTGAAATATTAAGATTTTGCAGTTGTTACCTCATGGCAGCCTAGCCCATCCTGAAACAGGAATTGGTTCCCTGTTCTGAAAGGACCAAAGAACTAAAATATTTAACACACTGGCTTAGTGATTAGTTGGTAGACATTCAGCAAATTTCTATTGGAGGATGGAAGAAATAACTTACATAGAGGCAACTGCTATTATAGAGAGGTGAAACTATCCCTTGAGATAAACAGGAAGGCAGATAACCTATTCTTTACTAAAAAAAATATTAAAAAATAAATTATTTTGTTGTTGTTGGCTGCATTTGGCAAAATGTACAGAGGAGATGAACTCAGAAAGGAACTGGTCAGTTTGCAGGTAGAAATGAAGAGAACAAAGAAATCATAATTTCAAGTATTTACTGGGTAGTATGAGACAACTTTTCAATCACAAGATAAAAATTAGAAATCCTTTAACCCAAAGGCTGCATAAAACCTACTGCTGCAGCAAAGATGACTGTCACACCTACTGTTAAGATCTCTGAATGAATTTATGTGCCTCAGACTAAAAAGTCCAATCAAGAGTGTAACAACACTTAATGCTTCAAATTTAACAAAAGTTATTTAAGAAAAGAGATTAAGGGTATGGCTTTCTTACTTAAACCCAAAAGGCCCATGTTAAGCAGAAATTAAATTCCAAGAGGCATGGGAAGAAGAAAGCAAAGAAATGTAGCAAATCTAAAAGTACACATTAATTAGATATCATATTTGGGTTTCTCCCTTGGGGAGATGATGAGGACATTCTGCAGGTAGGAAAGCAAGTGAAACGAGTATCTAGTAACCTGAAGGCCTGTCATCCTTCTTATATTCTGTTAAATTTACTTACTTTTAAATTCCAGAAGAGTCGGAAATCAGCTGTAAAGCAAAGTAACAAGAAAATAACATGCCGTTTTCTCCTAGGTTTGATGCCTACAAAAGGAAAAATGGATATTAACTTGTATATGGCATTCTTTCTCCAAAACTGAATTTTAATTACTGAGTTTTAATTACTGAAGTATTATCTTAGTTTAATTTAAATAGTTGTCCAATCTTTTCTCTATATATGTTGGTTCCTTTGGAAATTAAAAAAAAATACTTTATATCATGAATGTACTTAATATTACAAAGTAGATTTATGTGAATACAACTGGGTTTGCTAGGGAACGCAGCAATCTGTTTGTTTCCTTAACAACATTCACAATATTCCAATCACATGCTAAGCACCGCACTAAATTCTGGGAATACAATAACAAGGTTCCTAGTCACAAAGAACTTAGCTTCACTGCTTCATTTATAGTATATGGCTAAGAGCTATCCAATGAACAGACAGGATGACTGTAAAGATCAAATGAAACTGTAAAAGAGCTTCAAAGATCATAAAACACTACACAAATATTTACTTATCCAAACATTTACTCAAATGCCAGGCATTGTGCTAAGCATTAGAGACATTAACAGTGAGCAAGACTTATTATGGTCCCTGCCCTTATAAGGCTTACTCTAGCAATGATCAATAAGCAGCAGTAACAGGTGCTAAGTGTATGGCTAAGAAAGCACAGGGAGTATAGGGAGTGCACAGATGGGGCACCTGGTCCAGAAGGCACCAATGAAGGCTTCCTAGACGAAGTAGCATATAAACAGAGACTTGAAAGATGAACAGAAATTTGTATTTCACTCTACTAACAATGGTGAAAGCAGTGGCGTGACATGACTAGATTCAATTTTTGCTTGGGTACAGGAAATTGGATGGTTGGTAGTGATAGAGCTATCTATGAAAAAAAGAGAGCAAAAGCAAGTTTGTGGATAAGATCAATGGCATGTTGCAGTGCCTGTGAAACAGCGTAAGTGGATTTATGTTAGCAATTAGTTATGACTTAGGAAAAAAAATCTAGAAAGGGGATATGAATTTGGGAGCATCTGCATATAGGTGGTAACTGAAGCCACAGGAGAAAATGAGATCAGCCAAGGATATAATTCAAGGTAGATAAGAGCAAGAATGATTAGGCAGACTTGAAAAAATTAATAAAGTAAAATCTTAAGGACAGATACTTAAGGGAAAAGGGGCCTGCAAAGAATGAGGATGCATGCCTGGAGGAGATTATCTCCTCAAAGCTAAACTAAAGTAACAGAGTATTTCAATAATTTTGACAAGTAGTGAGTTTGGTGGAACAGTTTGAGTAGCAATATGGGAGATAGGGAAAGCAAATCTTTCAAGACAATTAGTGGAAATAGGAGATATGGGGAAGTAGCTGTTAAGGACATTGAGTTTTCAAAAATAGTACTTATTTTAACTATATTCACCAATACAATAGGATCAATAACTATATATTTAAAAGAAAAAAGACTAGCATGCAGCTACAAAATTACTTTATACAGAAAACAGTAAAATACACTTTTTTTTTTCTACAAACAAGACTAGCTTTAGCAAATCCCCTGGTGTCAAGGATCAAGTTTTAAATCCTTGGCTTATATTCCCACCCACCCCCAACACACTGACTAGATGATATAAACTAACTTTAATATCATCTTAAGCAAAACATACTAGAACTTCACAAAATGTACAAGATTTCAGTATCTGAGGAACTAAGACTAGAAAGCAGAAACAGCTTCCAGGTCTTCCAATCTTTCAACTAATAAAGCATTTGCTATGAAAGACAATACTTGAAGTTACCAGGAAATTACCGGTAGATTTTTTGTTTTGTTTTCAGTTTTTCACTATGTTGTTTTTTCAGATATTTAATCTGAAAAATTAATCTTAATCTTTGCTGACCAAACCATACTTTCTCCACACTTATTTTTTCTGCCCTAATTATGACAGAGCCCCTTAATCTTGATCTTAGCCAAAAGGCCAAGAAGTGATAGAACCCCTTAATCTGATTCAATATTAAACTGATTTACAAACACTATTGTGAGCTCCTGGAATCCATCAATGCCTTTACTGACCTTACCACCCAACCTTGAAATGTTGGAATTAATCTTTCCTATCAAGCATTCCCTCGATTTGTCCAATTTGTCTTCCAATTATCTTCTACTGGTAATTTGACCTGTCCCTTGAAATAAGATAATGTACATGGGGAGAGGGGTCTACTGGCACTTTGGGAGAGAGAATTCTTCATCATGCCAGGCTGTCCTGTGCACTGCAAGGGGGAAGGAATCATTAGGTTTAAATACCAGCACACACACACACACCCCATTAAATATGACAACCAGTAAGATGCCCAAAAATATTTCCCAGCATCCACTGCAAGGGTTACTACCTTCTGGTTGAGAACCATGATTTAACTTTGGTCCTTAAGCTCTTACAACTTCTACTCAAGATTGCCTAGGTACTAGGTCCTTCGAAATTCTCAGTTGTATCCCGGTTCTGCAAATTTACCAGATTAGTGACCATAGAATAATGTGCTACAGTAGGTAAGACAGGACTTAGTAGCACAAGTTTTCAAATTGTACTTGAGAATCTATGAGTTACAAGTTAGGTATTATTTTTAAAGCAGTTTCACATATTGGACTTTGTACAGCTAACATACGCTGAAAATTATTAAATGTCATGGCACAAAGCCAATGTCTCACTAGAAATACAGAATTCCTACAGTCTGTAAATAAGGCTGCTTCTTGAGATTTGAAATATTTCTACTTGTGTACTGTCTTAACTATTGAATGTGTGGAACAGTTTTAAATTCCAGAATAAATCTGTACAGCAGCTAACAAAATCTGATATTGGGGCCGGGGATTTAGCTCAGTGGTGCTGCCGCCTGTTTCACAAGTGCAAGGTCCCGAGTTTGATAACCGGTACCAAAAAAAAAAAATCTGATATTGTATCATTTTAAAATAAAGTGTTTCCTTTACCCAAGATTTCTTTATAAGGCCATGCAGATATAGATAAACAAAAAGATCTCACACCTCCTGATCCTGAAGTGCAAAAATCTTTTTCTTCACCCTTTTGGTAGTGAAACTTTTGTCCAGGGTAGAAAAGAGAATTACTAACTGGCAATGGTTAAAATTCTATACTTACCATAGTCCTGTAAAAAGCAAGCTGATAAAACAGCCCCTAGTTGTGAAAAATTCATGGGAAATCCCAATAGTGATAATTTAGGAAACCCCGAACTATAGAAAGTCTTCTAAATCAGCAATTTAAAAATAATTTTTGCTTCTCCGATTAAAATCTGGAGTAATTCCTACTAATAATATCAGTGGGGTGGGTGGGGAGAAGGTGAGGGAGAAAATCTGTCAATATGTGCTTTGGACTCAGAAATGCTTTAAAAAAATAGTCTCAAACATTTTGTTAGACAAAAATACCTCCACTGTATGTTCCTATGCTTTTCTTTTTCAGAAACTTGTGACCTGCTATCAGTTTTTGTAAATTGATTCAAATACACTTAAGGAGTTGACGATTTTAGATTATCAGAATTTTAACACTATATTAAAGAACTAAAATTTTTGGCATATCTCTTAAGAACACCTTAAAAACAGACTTCTAATTCAACTCACACTAAACTTTGTTAAAATCTATTATACCATAAAAATTAAAAGACAATGACTACACCATTAAGCTAAGTTTTTAAAGAAGTGGAATTCTCATGTTTCAGTCCTATGTCGCCATATGAGATGAAAAAAAGGCAACTGTTGGAAGAATTTGAATTCTGATCCATTTCGATGTCTTGTAATAAATTTGGTGTTTTCCAGTAATTCAAACTAGTAAACTTAAAAAAAAATTTTTTTTGTCTTTTAGAACTGAATTCTTGTTCCAGTGCTGTACTACAGACTTATGGATTAGATTCAATTCTTTCTCTCATAAGATCATCCCAACGCGGATCCATTTCAGTTGTGGCAACCCGAAAGAGGGCTTGAAGATGCTCATCTGTCGATGGCTGGCTCAATGTGTGTTGGTTTCGTGTCAAATATCCAAAAGCCTTGTCACAGATTTGGTTACTATCAAACAAGGATGCCACCTTATAGGCAACTCCTTTGATAATTGGGTAAGATTCAGCAGGCAATCCAGCATAGAACTGGCCCAAGTCTTTGACTCTGTATTCATTCCAAAGGTTAGTGTTTGCCTGAAGTTTTGTTAGCTCCACCCTTACTGAAATAGGTGCATATTCAGGCTTAAAGTTAAATGGATTTGCAAAAAGTTCTAAGTCCTTTTTAATGAATCTGAGGTCCTTAAAATGTCTCTCAAAATCTTTCTGTAGACGACAGATCACCATTTGATACCTGTCAGGCTCAAATATTTTTTGATCTTCCTTAAATTGTTGTTTAAGCTCATCAACAACTTCACTGAAGGCAGGAAAGTCTGTTAAATCTTGTTCCTCAATTTGTCTCTGAAACAAATTCAGCTTACCTTCAAAAGTACAAATATGGTCAAAGGCAGTAGCAGCAAAAACTCCACTAATTTGCAATTCTTCACTGAGTTCTCGAAGGTGGTCCATAATATCCACCAAGAAGCCAAAGTCACAAAGCCACTGCTTGTCTGTGAAATGGACTGTTGTTGCCCCTACTGAAACCAAGAATGCTTCTATTTCCTTTCTTAGTGAAAATATTAATTTTAAAGTTTTCCCTCTTCTAAGCCAATTGTTCAGACATCGTCCATTGATCCTTTCGCCATGCTCTGATTCAGACTCAGTTAGTAAAGGCTGAAACTCGGGTCGCCTAACACCTCTGGTCTTAATCATGACTATCCATTCGGATATGGTATTTATGATCTGATTAACATCTACATCATAAGAACTCAATAGTTCCAAGTGAAGAAATCCTGAATAGTGGATAACATTCCAACAGTTAGGGCTTACAGCCTTTTCTCTCATGTAAGAGACAAGTCCGGAATTCTCACCAATCATCCTCAAAGTGTGAGTCGTAGTCAGTCCAACCATTCGCTGCAAGCTAACCCCTGCTGTCTGCAGGGCCTCTAGAATTGCCGACATGAGCGCACCAACACTGAAGTGATGAGTCAGGTTGATTATAGTAAGAAGGTCTTCTTGCACCTCCAAATCAGAGTCCACGCCACGGATAAAGACGAGGAGATAGTTCTCATAGGCCACAAAAGCCTGGTCATCCAGAGCAAGGGAATAGGCCTTAAAGCTCCTGGCTCGATTAAAAAGTTGACTGCGTAGATTATTGTCAATGCTCAGAATTCTCTGCCTTGTGATCTCCGGAGATAAATCAATCCCTTCCAGGACGCCTATGTGATCAGGCAGTACCTCTCTCAGAAACACCTCCATGCACTGGTACACAAAGTCCCCCTCACCCCAGCCGCGGCCCTTCAAAGCCAACAGGCGGCAGAGCCCGAGGCCTGCACGCGCAGCTTTCTCCTCTGGAGTGAGCATGGCGGCGATAGACAAATCGCCTTGACGGAGACGCTCCACTAGGGCCGCGCGCTCCTCCTCCGTCACATACCGCTCGTAGAATTCGTGTTCTGCCTCGTAGTGGCGCCTGACATCGCGTTCGCGGGTAGAAGCGACCAGGCGGTGACACACCAGACACAGAGCACCGTTGCCCTCCGGAGGCTCCACCACCAAGTAACGCTGGGTCCACTCGGGCCGGAAAACAAGAGCTTCGTCGACTTCCATCTTGCTCCTTTTGGGCGTCATCCACATTCTGCGGGAAGCCACAAGAGTACCGCAAACCTCAGAGAGGCCACAAGCAGAGGGGAGGAGCCGCACTGCAGAAAAGCACCTCCTTCGGCTCTGCGACAGATCACCTCAGCGGGAAGACAACAGCCGCTGCTGTGACAGCTCCCTTCCTATTGGCTGGAGATTTCGTATTCTCCAGCAGCTCCTATAAAAGAACCAATAGGAAACGCGGATAGTGCTCTCTATTGCGCAAGCTCACATTCTCCAAGCTAGTGGGCCTCAGATGCTTCAGGGAGGAAGAGATCCAGAAACACACGCATTTAAGAAACTTGACTGGCATATAAATTGCCCAATCAATAGCTCCCGCTGAAGGGCGGTGCAGGATGTCGTGAGCGGGAATGGAAGGAAAAACGTGGGCACGAGGAACCGAGGTGATTGGCTAAAGTCACTTCCGGTAGGCATCTAGGCTTCTCGTGGGCTTCTCGGGCGTCAAAATGTCGCTCGTGGCTGGGGTTATTCGGCGGCTGGATGAGACCGTGGTGAACCGCATCGCAGCGGGAGAAGTTATCCAGCGGCCTGCTAATGCCATCAAAGAGATGATTGAAAACTGGTACGGTGCAGCGTGCAGTTGAGCCAAATTCCCTTAAAGGCTACGCCTTAACGGGCCGCTCCGCTGAATGGCGCGGACACGCCTCCCTCCCTGGACGGAAGCGCATACGGCGCATGCTCGGAGGGGGCGGGGGAGGCCACGGGAACCTTAGGCTAATGCAGGTCCTGCCTTCTCCCTTCCCTGGAAGTGAGGTTCCTGAGCGCTCTCGCGGGGCCTTTGTGGATGTTTGAGGTGTTAGTAGAGGTGTATATGTGATATTGTTTTAATAGTGCTGTTAAGTAGAGAAACTGCTTACAATTATATATGCAAAAATTACGAAATTAAAGATATAAAGTACAGAAGCTTCTGGTGGGGAAAAAAATCTTTATTCAGAGGATATCATGTTGTCAGTTGATCATTCCAGAAATCATACACACTCAGGGACACAGTTCCTTTTTCAGTTTCATTCAGAATAAATCGTTGGAATTTTAGGACAGGATAATAGGCTTTGGGCTTAACTTCCACTAGTTGCCCTTGTTTTGGGGGGAGGCACTTCAAAGATGCCTGACTTTATGGAGCTTCCTTTGACTCTGAAGCTTAAGAGACGTCGCAAGCATTGCGCCTGAAAGAGGTTAAAAAGCGGGGGTGGCGGGGTGGGGGGCTGTATGTAAGATTGTAAACCTCAAAAAGAAAGAGCCCCATAATGAGCCTAAACGTTATGTCAGATCCTTTGTATTAAAATCAGTTGCAGGGGCTGGGGATTTAGCTCAGTGGTTCCGGCGCCTGCTTTGGAAACGCAAGGTCCTGAGTTTGATCCCCTGTACCCCCCCCCCAAAATCAGATGCTGTTAGAAATGTCAGCCACATTATTAGAGGGGAAAAAAAATACAGTGAGGAATAGCAGGTTTGTAATGAGCTTCATTGTGAAAAAATAAATCATCAGGGCAACGAGGCTAAAAGAAAAATAAGCCAGAAAGGATCGCAGAAAGGAAGAGGATTAGAAGGCAGACAAAAGAAGGAGCAGGGAACCTCCGGATATTTTCTCCTTTTGATTTGTGGCAGTACTAACGGTAGTAGTCTGGCTTCTACAATGTTAGAATGAACTGACAATAAATTGGGTCAATTATTGTACTGTGCCTGCATGTTGTACAACAAAATTAAACTAGCTCAGTGGCTTATAATTCTGCAAGACATTTTTGTATGGAATCCATTTAATCTCTTTTAAATATGTAAGTCAAGATGGCTAATACAACTTTAGTGCTGGGGCTCCTGAGAAAGGTCTTTAATATTTAACACATTTTCTTATTTTTGAATAAATAATAATTTTCTTACTCAGTCACTAACTTCTCTTTCTCATGCCGCCCCAGGTTGAATTTCTTTTCTCTGTAGTTCCTCGTTGCTTATAGGCTACTCTTTGAAAGCACAAAAGATTTATTAACGTCTGGGCCGGGGATTTAGCTCAGTGGTGCTGCCACCTGCCTTACAAGTGCAAGGTCCTGAGTTCGATCCCCAGTACCAAAAAAAAAAAAAGATTTATTAGTTTCTAAAGAACTTTCTGCATTGCCATTTTTTCTTTCCTTCATCATAAGTATATTTTCTTAAAGAAAAGGTAATGGTAGAGAAAAACATTTCTAATTTTTAAATGGCATTTTATTAGAAGAACCAGAGGTTGAATAAAGTTGAAGTAATAGTAAAGTTAGTTGAGAGTAAGAGGCATATGTCAAAAGGATCCTACTTCTGACTCTACTTTTTTTTTGGTACTGGGGATCGAACTCAGGACCTTGTGTTTGTGAGCCAGGCAGCTGCACCACTGAGCCAAATCCCCGGCCCTCTACTTCTTTTTCTATAGAAGAAGAGAAGTACTGCTGAATGTCCTGTTGGAAATGATACTTGCTCTTCCCTTCTCTCTTTCACAGGATATAAACTCATATAATGTAGACATTGAGCCTGTAACACAAAGGAAAAACACATTAATCTAGCACTTGTTTGGTTCATATTAAAATATGTGCATTAGAGTAGTTGCAGAATGATGAATTATTTTCTTTCTTTGATTTGCCAGTTTAGATGCAAAGTCCACAAGTATTCAAGTGGTCGTTAAAGAGGGAGGTCTAAAGTTAATTCAGATCCAAGACAATGGCACTGGAATCAGGGTAAGTAAAACCTCAGGGAAGCAAGATGTTCCTGTGCTTTGTTTGATAAGGAAAAGGTAGAACCTTTCTCCCTATTCTGTAAACTTTAGGCCTTTGTAAATGGGAATATTTGAGTGAAAAATTCAACTGCAATAATAATTATGTATTGAGTAATTGTAGGAACTGTTCAGAGGCTATGGTATTGAATAAAATTCACAAAATTACTTTCTCTTCTGGTGCTTCCATTGTAATAGTGGGGAGCAAACAATAAACAGGTACAATAAATACTATAGTATGTCAGGTGGCGTTGAGTACTGTGGAGAAAACTAAAGCAAAGGGGAAGATAAGAGTGAGGAGTGATACAATTTAAGTTGAATGGTTCAGGAAGGCTCTAATATGAATGTGATGTTAAAGGAGAGACCTGATGGAGATCAAGGAGCAAGTCATGAGGCTGTTAAAAGAATGAGTGTTCTGGGCAGAGAGACTAAAAAGAAATACTACGCAACAGAAACATGCCTGGCTTATTTAATGACCAGCAAGAAGGCCAGTGTGTCAAGAGCGGAATGAGCAAGGAAAGAGTAATAGGAGATGAGATCTGGAGGAAAACATGCTGGACCTTTAGGGCCAATGGTGAAAGTTTTGACTTTTCAGTGACTCTGGTAGGATACAGAGAGGATTTTAAGCAAAGTGATACATGATTTGGTGAGTTTTAGAAAAAGTCCTTTTTCTACTTTGTGGAAAATAGACTGCACCAGAACAGAGTGGAAGCAGTAAGGAGGCTCTTGGAACAGTCCAGGAAGGGCAACAATGCCTTGGATGAGTTTGATCACGGTAAAGATGTAAGAAACAGTGAGATTCTGAGTTAATTATGAAGGCGAAAGCTCTCAGAACTTGCTGATTCAGACCGAGAGAAGGAATGATTTCAAGGTTTTGGCCTTGTAAATGGAAAAAAAAAACAAAACGTTACCTTACTGGGGATCGGAAAGATTATGGAAGAAACAGGTTTAGGGGAAGATAGGAAGTTCATCTGGGGGCCTGTTAAATTTAAGGTGGCTATTTAAGATTTGAAGTGAAATAAGTTTTTTTAAAAAAGGACAAATATATGATTCCTATTATATGACACAAAATGTAAAAGAATGATGATTGCCAGGGACTAGGGGCTAAGGAAGGATAAAGAGTTATTATTTAATAGATATAGAGATTCAGTTTGGGGAAGATGAAAACGTTTTGAACATGAATGGTAATGATGGTTGCACAACAATGTGTAATTAATGCCACTGAACTCTAACACTTAAAAATGGTTAAATGAAAGTTTTATAAGTCTTTTACTACAATTTAAAAAGTTATCTAGCTGGACATGGAGGTACACACTAGTAATTCCAGCCACTCAGGAGACTGATGCAGGAGGATTACAAGTTTGAGGTACCCTGGGCAGTACAGTTGGGACCTTGTCTCAAAAATGAGTTATAAAAGCTCAGTGATAGAGTGCTTCCCGAGCCTCAGTGAGGCCCTAGGTTCAATCCCCAATATCACAAAAAATAAAAATAAAAGGTTATCTGTAGATTTAAATTAATATTTTCTAATTTTCAAAAAAGGCCATGAGACTGAATGAAATTATCAAGAGAGTGAGTGTAGTCAGAGAAGAGGTCTAAGGATAGGGAATCCTGGGTGACTGTAGTGTTAGGAGATGGGGACATGACATGGAAGCAACAAATGACACTGAAGAAACAACCTAGTAAGGAAAGAGGATGTCGGGGCAGTGTGGTGTTCTGGACACCAAGTAAGGAAGTTACTGCTATTTTTTAAACTCTTCTAAGAGGAATTCCTTCCTGGATTAAATCAATAAAATGGAAATTCAGAAAGATTTGGGAAAGTGAATAACATAATTATTTACTAATTATCTGTATCTACTAGAAAGAAGATCTGGAAATTGTGTGCGAGAGATTCACAACAAGTAAACTGCAATCCTTTGAGGATTTAGCCACTATTTCTACTTATGGCTTTCGGGGTGAGGTAAGCTAAAGTTTAAAGAAATACGTAAATTATCTTGCTGATGACATTGTCTGTCATTTGTCAGCAGATATTTCTCAACAGAGGTAAATAAGATTTGTAATTTTTGCCAGGCATAGTGCTGCAGCACTTGGGAGGGTGAAGCAGGAGGATAGCAGTAAGTTCAAGGCCAGCCTGGGATACTTAGTGAGTTGAAGGCCAGCCTGAACTACGCAGTGAGACCCTGTCTCAAAAAACAAAAACAAAAAGCAAACCAAGATTTGCTATTTTTTACTTGTTAAATGCAGTGGTACCTTGGTTCACAAACTTAATTTGTTCAACGATTTTGGAAAAGATGGCTCCATATGTGTTTGTGTAGGAAAGATGACCACAGTTGTGTTTGTCACCCAGTGCAAAGTTTGCAAACAAAAGCAAAATTTTGCCAAAAGCTTCTGTTTGTGAACCAAATTGTTTGCAAACAAAAGTGTTCCTGAACCATAAATTTGCCTAGACACTGGTGCCTTGGTTCACGAACTTGATTCTTTCCACAATTCTGATTGCATCCATGGAACGAATTTTGGAACTGGAATTGTGGAAAGAATTAAGTTTGTGAACCAAGGTACCATTGTATATACAAATTTTAACTTAATTTAATTAAGCTTTCCAAGGCTATGACTTATTCATCAGTACTTAATACACTATAAAGTATTTTAAACCCTGGATATTATACGTTGTGTGTACTGAACACCATCTACCTAGCTTTTTTGTTTTGTTTTTTCAGTACTGGGGATCAAACTCCGGTCCTTGCGCTTCCGCAGCATACGTAGCTTTTTTGGCAAAAAAAAAAAAAAATCAAATGTGAATCATCTAGTCAATATATAGATCTAAATACCAACATATGGATCCTACAGGGGACAAGTAAGGATAGTAAATGATACTGAGAAAACTACAGGACAAAAGACTTTGAACAAAAACTACAGGGGAAAAAAAGGATACAGAAGGAAACGAGAACTATAGATTAAAGGAGGTTTAAGAGAACTGTGAAGTTGAACATGGTGGCACATGCTTGTAATTCCAGTACTCTGGAAGAGCAGAAGAGACAGGGTTGCAAATTCAAGACCAGTCTGGGAAACTTAGCAACTTAAAAAGATCTTGGCTCAGAATTTTCAAGCCCTAGGGCCACAAGAGAAAAAAAAGCCTGTGAATAAACTTCATTTAGCAGATCTTACCTAGATCCTAGTTTGAGTGAATTGTTAAAAAAAAAATGAGGGCTGGGGATTTAGCTCAGTGGTGCCACCGCCTGCCTTGCAAAGTGCAAGGTCCCAAGTTCAATCTCCAGTACCAAAAAAAAAAAATTTGAGCTAAAGATGCTAAACACAGATTGGCTATTTGATGGTATTGAGTAGAAATTATTACTTTTCTTGATAAATAAAATACTGTAGGGTGGCACATGCTTGTATTCCCAGCAATATGGAAGGCTGAGGCAGGAAGATCACCAGCCTTGGCAATTTAGCCTTGAGGATTCAATCCTTAATGCTGAACAAAAAAAATACTGTGGAGTTTTTAAAAAATTTATTTTAAGATACTGTACTGAAATATTTGTGGATAAAATTATAGAAATATATGATATAGAAAATAGAAAAAATACTTTTGAGGCTAAAGTGGGATCCTCTGTTTTTATGACTTAATTCCTTATGGATACCTTTCCATCTAATAAATGTAGGCCTACATAGTTTTTTATGAGTACATACTATTCTGTTATGAATATTGTACTATATGGAGTTTCTTCAAGTGATTTTATTTTGAACATTTAGGCTCTGCCATTTTTTCCTGTTTAAGTCTCTGATGAATATTCTTATACATACACTGTGTTTTGTTTTTTCCTTAGGATAAATTTACTGTAGTAAAAAAATACGTTTTTAAAATGTTTTTAGTTTTTTACTGCTGGCCCCCTGAATTACCATAAAACTAATGGTTTAAAACAGTACATATGTATTGTTTACGGTTCTTAAGATCAGAAGACGTGGGTCTCATTGGGCTGAAATCAAGGTTTTGGCAGGGGTTCTGTGGGCCCTAGGGGATCAGAGAAACTGTTTAGTTATTTGGAAGAAAGGAGAGTAAAGGTGAGGGAGAGGAAAAAAGCCTGTTACTTTTCATTTTAGGCCTCTGTTGTTTTTAAATTTATGTATTTAATTTTTAAAAACTAAAAGGTAGCTATGACCAAGTATCTGTAATTTAGGACAATTTAGATCAAACCAAGATGGTCTCAGGCACTCTTTTACAGTGACCCCCAAATTGTTTCTGATCAGGATACTTTTATCCTGAGGCTGCCTCAGGTCAAGCTGTAGGATTACAGTTTCATCCTGACTTTGCAATTCCCTGAGTCAGTTTCCAAGCCTATGGTCTCCTAGAGCCTTAGCCTAACTGTGGAATATCTTTAGGGTTACTATTTCACTGTAATTAGTCAGGGAAGATGTATTAAGGGATTGCTTTGTGCAAGCAGTGATTCTCAGGGCCATGTATGTATGTATGTATTACCTGTTACTCCCAACAGTAGCCCCACAGAGTAGATTGTACCATTGCCCTGTTTTACATGAGGAAACTGACACATAGTGATTAAGAACATGGCCAGCGCATACACCTAGAAAGTAGTAGAGAGGGATTGACCTAGGTACTTTGACTCCAGTCTGTGCTTCTCACTATTTGTTCCACTGGAAAGGCCATGTTGAAGTAGCAGGAGCCTCTGCTGTGCCATGTGTAGTGGCACTCTCTCTGGTGTTAGGTACTGTTGTACTACTGTGCATATTTAATGTCCATCCTTACACAAGTCTCAAAATCATTTACATTTTTTGATGATGAAAATTACATAAAGCAGGGAGATTTAGCTAAGACCAAGTCATTTTTGAGGCTGAGCCCTGTTTTGTGTTTTTGTTTATTTGGTTTTTGTTTTTGAAACAGGGTCTCTTTTGCTGAAGTTGGTCTCTAACTCCTGTGCTTGCTCAAGCAGTCTTCCTGTCTTGGTCTGTTGAACCAAGTTCCTTCTAATGAACTGAAGCTGCCTCAGCTGTATAGATGCTGTCACACAGACTTCATTGTAGCACAATTCATGTGTTGCATGTTTACATACTAATGATGATGTCCTTTTTGTGAAAAGATCCCAAAGGACCATGAAACCAATCTTGGTTATAAGGGGGAAAAAGGGTCATAAGTTTTTGAAATTTGTTTTGTTTTAATTGAGTAATTTTAATTTTTTAATCCCACACTTATAATTGCTTGTATAAAAGTTTTGAGTACAGTCTCTGCCATCATATATTAGCAATAATTCCATTATCTGTTTCTGAAAGCAGATTTTTAAATTACTGAAGGATACGTCATTCAGGGTATGTTAAGCATGCCTGCTGTCATTTGGATCTGAAATGTCCCTAGTACACCTGTGTATTAACGCCTTTGTCTCCCAGCTTGGTGCTATTGGGAGGAGATGGAAACTTTAAGAAATGGAGCCTAGTGAATGGTCTTCAGGTCATTGGGGAATGTGCCCTTTAAGGGGCTAGGGCATCCCTTCCTCTTCTTTTCTGTCTTTTGGCATCCCATGAGATGTGTGCTTTTGCTCCCCAATGTGTTCCTCACCATGATGTGGTGCCTCAGAACAGGCCCAAAAGCAATGGGATCAAATAATCATGGACTGAACTCTGAAACTGAGCCAAAAATAAACCTTTCCCTATATAAGTTGATTGTCTCAGGTATTTGCAACAGTAATGGAAGGCTATAGTTCTGTCACCTGAATACAATTGCTGTTAATACATTAAAGCCTTAGTGTGTTTCCTTTTGGACTTTTAAATATAAATTTTTCTCTTGCTCTAGTGATTATGCTACAGATTCAATTTTATATCCTTTTTTAAATATGTCATTAAAGTGTTCCTTGTTGCTGCATCTTAATACAAAATGGAAAAGACAATTTAGATGACTTTCACTCAGCAATTTGTTTTTATTTCATTCTGTTTCATTGTCTCCCCTAGGCTTTGGCCAGCATAAGCCATGTGGCTCACGTTACCATTACAACCAAAACAGCTGATGGAAAGTGTGCATACAGGTATACTGCTGTCCTTTACTCCTATGTATTCATCCTGAAATGTACTTTTTTGCCTAGATCTCTCTGACTCCTAGCTAACCACTAGTGTTATTTTCTTTGTTGTTGTTGTTTTATTTTTAAGAGTAGGAAAGGTTTATTCGAGAATAGAAATACCTCCTGATAAGAGGAGTCACAAGTGGTTTACCCCAAGTCTTTTCTTTTAATTGGTACATTTTAGATATACATAATGATAACATTCATCATAGGGACTTTGTACCTGTACATGATATATCTTCCTTCTTTATTTTTCCATTCCCCTCCCCTCCCTTCAACCCTTCTTCCCTTCCTTATTTACAAAAGCTTTGTTTCCATTTTTTCCTTCTGTTCTTTTTTTTCCTTGTCCCTTTCTTTCCCCTTTCCCCTTCCCTTGCTTCTCTCCCCATTTAAACATTTTCTTCCCATTTCCCAATGTCTTTTATATATTTTGATCCTAATTTATACTTTTGGTTTGTTACACTGGAGAAGCAATGCGGTATTTAAACATGTGTGTCTAATTGATTTCACTTAAGAGTATGGTCTCAAGGTCCATTCATTTAGCTAGATATGTCTCAAGCTTATCCATCTTTATGACAGACTAGTGCTCCTTTGTATAAAAAAACCACATCTTCTTTATATTTCAGATGCCTGTCTTTGCATTGGGTCTTTAAATTTGGGGGGTCTGATTTTTTTGAGATCTTCATATATTATAGATAATAGTCCTTTATTAGAATAGCTGGCAAAAATTTTTTCCCACCCTGTGGATTGTCTCTTCATTCTGTTGGTGGTTTTCTTGCTGTGCAAAAGCTTTTTAATAAGATGAGATCTGAGTTGTTGATTCTTTGTAATATTTCCCATGCAGTCAGTGTTTTGTTCATGAAGTCTTTGCCTACTCCTATGTCCTCAAGCGTTTTAACTATTCTCTCTTCCAGCAGATTTAGTGTTTCTCTTTTTAATATTTAGATCTTTGATCCATTTTGATTTTAGGTTAGTGCATGGTGAAAGATATAGGTCTAGTTTCATTGTTTGGCATGTGGAAAGCCAGTTTTTCCAGCACCATTTATCTTTCTTCCAGTGAAGGTGTTTGGCTCCTTTGTCAAAGATAAGGTGGTTGAGTATGTCTGGAATTGTTTCTGCATTCTTTAGTCTGTTCCATTGATACACAGGTCTGTTCTTTTGCCAGTACCATGCTGTTTTTATCACTGTAGCTTTGTAGTATAATTTAAAAGTCAGAGATTGTGATACTCCCTGCCTTGCCTTTGTTGCCCAGAATTCCCTTTGCTATTCTAGGTCTCTTCTGGTTCCAAATGAATTTTAGGATTGTTTTTTCTAATTCTGTGAGATATGCTGTTGGGATTTTTATTGGGATTACATTGAATCTGTATGACAATTTTGAAAGTATGGCCATTTTCACTATATTGGTTCTTCCTTTCCAGGAATAAGGGATATCTTTCCATTTTCTGATATTTTTGGATGCTGTTGTGAAAAGTGTAGTTTCCCTAATTTCTCTCTCAATGAATTTGTTATTTGTGTACAGGAATGCTATTGATTTTTGAGAGTTGACTTTGTATCCAGCTATGCTACTGAATATGGTTATTAAATCTAGAAGTCTTTTGGTAGAATTTTGGGCTCTTCTAGGTAGAATATCATGTTATCTGCAAATAATGATAACTTCTCCCTTTCCTATCCATATTCCTTTTATTTTTATTATTATTATTTTTTTTTTGGTAGCAGGATCGAACTGGGGTCCTTGTGCTTGCACAGCAGTCGGCAAAACCACTGAGCTAAGTTCCTGGCCCTCCATATTCATTTTATTTCTTTATCTTATCTAATTGGTCTGGCTAATGTTTCCAGAACTATACTGAATAGGAGAGCTGATAGTGGGCATCCTTGTCTTTTTCCTGATTTAGAGTAAAAGCTTTCAGGTTTTGACCATTTAAGTATGATGTTGGCTGTTGGTTTGTCATAGATGGCTTTTATTAGATTGAGATAAAGACCATCTATTCCAATTTTCTGTAGGATTTTTATCATAAATGGGTGTTGGACTTTGTCAAATTTTTTTTTCTTTGTCTATTGAGATGATCATATGGTTTTTGTCCTTGGTTTTGTTAATGTAATGTATTACATTTATTGATTTGCATACATTAAACCATCCCTGCATCTCTGGGATGAATCCTACTTGGTTATGGTGTATAATCATCTTGCTGATTTGCTGCATTTTGTTTGCCAGTATCTTATTGAGAATTTTTGCATCTGTATTCATTAGGGAGATTGTCCTGTGGTTGTCTTTTTTAGTTTGATCCTTCTCTGGTTTTGGTATCAGGATAATGCTTGCTTCCAGGAATGAATTTGGGAATATTGCTTCCCTTTCAGTATCATTAAAGAGTTTGAGAAGCAGTGGCATTAGATCTTTAAATGTCTTGTAGAATTCAGCAGTGAATTCATCCGGACCTGGGCTTTTCTTTGCTGATAGGTTTTTAATTACATCTTCAGTTTCATTCACTGATACTGGTTTATTTAGAATTTTTATATCTTCTGGATGTAGCTTTGGTCATTTATATGTATCTAAGGGATCTGTCCATTTCTTTTGTGTTTTCCATCTTATTATAATACAGGTTCTCGCAGTAAGTATTGATGATCTGTATTTCTGCAGAGTCTGTTGTGGTTTCACCCATTTCATTCCTAATTGCATGGACGTTGAGTGTTTTCTTTCCTTTTTGTGATAAGGTTGGCTAAGGGTTTATTTAATCTTTCAAAGAACCAATTTTTCAATTCATTGATTCTTTGTATTGTTTTCTTAGTCTGAATGGCATTATTTTCTGCTCTGAACTTTATAATTTCCTTTCTCATACAAGCTTTGGGCTTGATTTGCCCTTTTTTTCTAGAAGCTTGAGGTTCAACATTAGGTTATTTTAGCTCACTCTGTTTTTCTGATATGGGAATTTGCTACTGTAAATTTCCCTCATAGGACTGCTTTCGTTGCATCCCATAAGTTCCAGTATGTTGTATTAGCATTATCCTTCACTTGTAGAAACTGTCTAATTTCTGTGTTAATGTCCTTGCTTTTTTTTTTTGGTATTGGGTATCAAACTCAGGACCTTTTACTTGCCGGTCGGGCGTGGAACCACTGAGCTAAATCCCCTCCGTGTGTTATTTCATTTCCATGTGTTATTTCATTTCCATGTGTTTATGAAATTTTTGTGATATCTTTTGCTATTGATTTCCAATTCATTGCACTATGGTCTGATAATATGCATGGGATAATTTCAATTCCATTGCATTTACAGTGGACCCTTAAGTTATGACTGGCCTGACTTAGGACCAACTTGGGTTAATTAGATTGATTTAAGATTCGTCTGCCTCTTGTTATCTATAGCATGTACCCAGGTAAACATCCAGATCTCAGCTGTATTCACTTAAAATCAGCTTGAGTTACAACCACCCCTCGGGAACTGATTGAGTTCATGTCAAGGATCCACTGTACTTAAGCATGTTCTGTGAGTTAGCATGTGGTCTGTTTTGAAGAATGTTCTGTGTGCAGCTAAGAAGAATGTATATTCTGATACTGTAGGGTGGAACCCTCTGTAGATATTTACTAAGTCCGTTTGTTGAAAAGTTTGGTTCAGTTTTGATATTTCTTTGTTGATTTTTTTGTCTAGTCTGTCTATTTATGACTGTCAGGTATTGAGGGATCCCATTACAATTGTATTAGTGCTTATTTGATTTTTCATGTCCATTAATATTTGTTTTACATAGTTGGGTATGCTGGTATTTGGTGCATATATAAGTATAACTTATCTCTTCCTCTTGGATTGTTCTCTTTACAAGGAAATAGTGACCTTTGTCTCTTAATCAGTCTTGGCTTGAAATCCATTTTGTCTGCAAATAGAATAGCTATCCCTGTTTTTCTCTACGTTCTTGCCTCATGGAGTATTGTTTTCCATCCTTTGACTTTCAGTCTGTGAATTTCTTTTTGAATCAAATGTGTTTCTTGTATACAGCATATTGTTGGATCTTGCTTCTTGATCCATTCTGCCAGTCTGTTTCTTTTGACTGGTAAATTAAGACCCTGTTTACATTGATGTTTACTACTGGTGTCTATTGACTTATTCTTGTTATGTTATTTGCCTGTTAGTTCCCTTCCTGCCCCCCCTCCATTTACTTGTCTTGCCTGGTGGATTCATTCTGTTGGGGTTGATGGAGTTGTAGTCCTTGTTTTCTCTTTCTAGAATGTCCTTCAGAACATTTTTTTAAATTTTAATTTTATTGGTATGATTTAGATATACATAATGATCACATTCATCATAGGGAATTTGTACCTGTTCATGATGTATCTTGGTTCCTCTTTTTTTTCCCCGTTCCCCTCCTCTCCCTTCAACACCTGTTCCCCTCCTTATTTACAAAAGCCCCCTTTCCATTTTTTCCTTCTTATCTTTTTCTTTTTTCTTCCTTTCTTTTCCACTCCCCCCCTCTAGTTCCCCTTCCTTTTGAACAGTTTTTTTAATTTCACACTGTCTGTTATACCTTTTGTTCCCTGCTTAACGCTTTCAGTTTCTTACACCAGAGAGACAGTGCAATATTTACACATGTGTGTCCCATTTATTTCACTTAAGAATGTAGCTTCAAGGTGTATACTTCCAGGGATCATTTCTATAGTTGGTTCCTTTAGAACATTTTAGAGTGCTGGTTTGGTAGTCATGAATTTCTTCAGATGTTCTTTGTCATGGAAGTGTCTTATTTCTCCAATTTTGAAAGATAGTTTTGCATGGTACATCAATCTGGCCTGGAGGTTGTTTTCTTTTTGGGCTTGAAATACTTCACTCCAAAGTCTCCTTGACTTGAGGGTTTGTGTTGAGAAGTCTGCTGTGATACTGATGGGCTTCCCTTTATAAGTGATTTGTGTCTTTTTCTCTAACAGTTTTTAATATTCTGTACTTCTATTGAATTTGTAGAATTCTGACTATTTTATGACGTGTAAATTTTTTTTGATCTTGGTTAATTGCAGTTCTATATGCCTCACTTATGTGTATGTCAAATTCTTTTCCCAGCTTGGGAAATTTTCTGCCATTACTTCTGTGAACAGGATTTTTTATGTCAGGTGCAATATCTCCTGCTTTTTTATTGACGCCAATCAATCTTATATTATTCTTTACATCATCTAGCAGCTGTTGGATTGATTTTTTTTGTGATCCCTTGCTATTTTTAGGAAATCTTTCTTTTCATGATCACTAACCACAATCCTGTCTTCTATATTTGATATTCTGTCCTAACATTGGCTCATTCTACTGCATATACTTTCAATGGAATTTTTAACCTCCTGGATATCTTTGAATCTGTTTCATGGATTCCATTTCTTTCCTATGTGGGTGTTCATGGTTTTCATCATTTTCCTAAGCTCCTCTATTTTTTTAAATCTGTATCTGCTCTAGGATCACCATGACCTTCATTATTATCACCATCTCTGTAGTTGTCAGCGAAATTACTTTTTATTTGATATTTTCTAGAACCTCATTCATCTTCTTTGTTACCTCCACTGTTATTGCTTCAGAGAGTCCAGGTGGGTGGCTTTTGAACTGTTCCACCTCACTGCCCCCTGAGTGTGCCTTTGGTGAGCTGGAAGTCTGGAGTTTCGTCTTGCTTCCATATCTTCCAATTTTCTTTTTTTTTTAATTATGTTTTTCCTTTCTTTTTTTTTTTAGTTTAATTACTGGTTGATGCATGTAAATTGCTTATGGCAGGTAGCTTTATTGCTATTATTGCAAACTTTTAAAGAGTGACTACTTTTCAAAGATGTCTTCCAAGTATAGGTGGCTTTTGGGTTTTGAGTCTGTTGCAAGATCTTTCCTCTTCAGTTTATTAGGGATAAGAAGTTGCTGTCTATTTGTCCTAGCCCCTGGTACTTTGCTACTGGCCTGTAGTATTGTTTATGACCTTTGCACAACCTCAGTCTTGGCATACCAAGAAGAACAACTGATTAGAACAATTATGTCAACTTGGCTAAAGTAGTACAGTCTGTTATAACAGTAGCATCAAGAGGCCGGGGATTTAGCTCAGTGGTTCTGCCACCTGCCTCACAAGTGCAAGGTCCTGAGTTTGATCCCTGGTACCAAAAAAATAATAATAATAACAGTAGCATCAAACACAGCCTAGAAAATGACAAACTGGTAACTTTTTTTGTTTGGGTACCAGGGATCAAACTCGGGACCTTGCACTTTCGAGGCAGGTGGCAGAACCACTGAGCTAAATCCCTGGCCCTGACAAACTGGTAACCATTAATTTGCCACCTTTAGCCATATGAACTAGATTTGTGATTATGTAACAAAATCTAAAGCAAACCAGAAAATTTTATACAGTAAATGTGCCCTCAGTATGGTGATTTTACCCTTGGAGAGAAAATTTTAGAGATTGAGGGCCAAAAGGAAAATAGAAGAAGAGAGTAGAAGCAAGATTGGAGGACAACGATCATGCAAGCTTTGAGAAACTGGTGAAGAAGACAGGAGGGAAAGAGATAAAAATGAACAGAACAGAATAACAACAAAAAAGTTAGAAACAGTGTTCACACCCATAAAAACAAGAATGAACAGTCAAGAAAAAAAGAAAAGGAAAAAATGTCCACTTCAGGGCCTGTCTCTGCTGTTAGTGGTAGACATAGTGGGCAGACAGAGCCTAGATCTATGTTGATTAATCACAGCAAGACAGCTGTAGATTTATGGCAGTATCGTGGATAATCTCAGCAGCCCTATGCCTTTAGTTTTGCTGATGTTCAGACTGCTTTCTGGCTGTGACACTGGAACCTAATTTGTTCAGCCTGCAGCACTCCATGTTACTCCTATAGCTTGAACTTGGCTCCCTGCTGGCTAGACCTCCTGCCAGTTTGAATGAGGTTCCACCTCATCCTAACACTGAGGGACACTAGACAGAGCCAGCACCTGGCTGTTCTCAGTTCCAAGCTCAGTTGGCCCCTTTTCAAGATGATGACCAGCCAGTTGTCCTCTCCTGTGGGATGTCTGAACTCAACTCACAAGCCACTGTAGTTTGCTGCGTCCACTGCTCTGTTCCACTGGTACATTTCTACCTAGAGGCCTCTAGGGTCACTAGTAGTCATTGTGAATTTTCAGGTTTGAGTGACCCTTCCCACACAGCGATCCAGGGCTAGGGGAGAAAGTGCTGCTTGTCACCTCCTTCTTCTGCGTTGAAGTCTCTTTCTTCCCTTTCTCTGTGGGCTTCAATTCTCGTTTCAGATCCTTGCTGGTCCTGGGGGCCTCCTTCCCTCCTCTTCTTAACGTTGCTGTATTCCAGCATCTGGACACCAAATCTCAGAGTGGCTTTCTCTGCTGTTCACCACTCCACCATCTTCCCTAAATTCCTAGTGTTCCTTTCTTTGGTCTGAGACTTTAGATAAGTTTTCTTTCCTCCCTGTAGATAAGTTGACAATGCACAGGAATAATTATTAGATGATATTCTTACTTCAAAGATTCTTAAAAGATAAAACATATTACAAGTGCTCAGCAAGGTGTTTATTACAAATAGGTATTCTAAGTAAATGGTAACTGATGATATTATTTTTGCCCTTTGCCCTTGAGGAGGGTATCACTTTGGGCTGATTTCAGGGCTATAGCTGGAATGCTGATGGCTCACGGTTCCTTTGTTAGCTCCAGCTCCCAAGGGAATACCTGGGCTGGCTTCCCTTCCATGAACAGCTGCCGGCCGGCTGGCTGTTATACTGACACAGTTTCCAAAGGCTGATGAATGACCTTGGAACAGAACAAAAATGGCATTCAAGGAATCAAAATTGCACCTCTTGTTTTTATAAGGACTGGCTATTCACTAGCTGAAGACAGGTAGGAATACTAATCCCCGGCCCCACCCTTCAAATTTCTCCCTAGTTCCTAGTCTTTGTCATCAAATATGTAAAGTAATGGAAAAAAGCATTTCAGAGCTTGCAGCACTGGTACTAGGGGAGCCCTGGGATGTGGGTGAGCTGATATGACTAGTCATCTCACAGACCAGGGAGATAGTTGGGAATTAATGTCTTCCTAAGTCTGTTTCTTCTAGGGATCCCACCAGGGATCCCTAGTGGCTCCCCTTCTGTGACAGGATGAAATTCAGAGTTCATGTTGCAGAACCAATGCCCTCAGTCCACCCTCCAGCCTCTTCTCACCACACATTCCCAGCTGCAATGTTTTTAAAAGCTTTTGTGGTTATGTGGTCATGTTTTCCCCATCTTATATGATCTTTCCTGCTGTCTCCAGATGAAACTATTGCTCTGTGAAGCCCAGCTGAAATTGTTCTCTCTTCTCCAGAGTTCACCTGCCTTCACTCCCAGCCCAGGCTGAATGATTCCTTTTCTACATCATTTAGTACATTATTCTACATTGTGTTAAAAGTCTATCCTCATGTAGGTCTAAGACTTTTTTTTTTTACAAGGGCCTTTGAAGGTCTGGCACATGGTAGCTCCTCAATAAATGATTGCATAATTATAGAATATTTTACTGTTCTCTTAGGCAGTTGCACAACTAATGTGTAGTAGCTCTGAACTCAGCAACTAAAAACCGAGATTTTCTATTACAGGATTTTTTTAAAAATTCAATTAAAATCATTATGGAAATAGTTGGAAAATAAAGTTGTATTAAGCCAATATATAATGTGGCTATGTTTAATCTATTATTGGTATAATTTTCTTTGTTTACCCTTTGGAAAAATATCTCTTTCTAGTAGATATTAATAATCTCATGTATTTTCTGATTAGAGCAAGTTACTCAGATGGAAAGATGAAAGCTTCTCCTAAACCATGTGCAGGCAATCAGGGGACCCAGATCACGGTAAGAATAGTACATGGGAATGTGAATTGGTGGGAAAGGGCTTTGTATAAATATTGAAATATAAAATAAAATTGACTGTGAGCTTCTTAGGTAAAAATGAATTTTTATTAGTTAATAGAAGCCCAAGGGCCTGAGAGATTATTTGTTGGGACGGCAGAAATCAGTGCCAGAGTAGCTGACATTGAAAGAACGTTAAGGTTGACTCCAGAAGACATGAGTTGGAGTCTGAGCCTGGTCAGTCAATGGTTATGTATCTGGAGGCAAATCACTTAATATCCCTGGCCCTACATTTTCTCATCTCATCAAATTTATCATCATATTTATTATCAAATCTATTTCTCATCAAATAGATCAAAGAATACCTGCCTCAAAGTGTATTTTGTGAATCATATGGCAGTTTCATTAGTTGGGAAGAAGTCCAAGGTGCTGCCTCATTTCTATAGCATTTCAGTCCTTCTCTATTCTGTGATCCCATGTACCCTGCTGTCATGTTATACCTCCTGGTGCTCCACCCTTAATCCAAGCTAAAGCACATCTTCTTGAAGGCCAGTGTAACCTTTCTGATTCCTGGGTATGATGAAGCTGGCAGGAGGCAGAAATGGTCTTGTGCTTTGCAGTGCATGTTAAGAGGGAGCCTCACTAGGGTCCCCACAGTGTCACTTCAAGGAACTCCAAAAGAGCTCAGAAATTTTATGATTTTCCTTAGTTTGAAAAATATCTTTGAATGCCATGGGATGTCATAATTGTTTATAAGTTGATGTGTCTGTCTCACTGAATTATGTGTAATCTGAACAAGACTATGCTTTAAAATTTGTCTTCACAGTCAGCATGGTGCCCCTCCCCCACTCCTGCACTTTAGATATTACTCTTGCCTTTTTGGAGAAGAGAGAGGTCTCCATGGAGTGTCTAAGGTCCAGAAGGGTGGGATCTGGGGCACTTATTTCCTTATGCAATATTGATAGCAAGCTTTCAGCCCTGTCCCTCATTGACACAGGCCTGCTAACTGCTATAGGTAGCACTCACCAGCCACTATTGGGGTTTTAGTCTGGGAGGGTGCCCTCCTGTGTAGTGACGCCACTGTCCTGCAGCATGGACCCTGTTAAAGACTTACTTTGGTGTTCCTATAAAAAAATAAATAAATAAAATTTGTCTTCATATTTTCAGCATAAAGCAAAGAGCCTGACATAGAGATAACCCCTAGTACATATTTGAGAAGTTAATGAATCAGTGTGAGAGGCAGGAAAAATATCCTTTAATTCCTTTTTCAGTGTCCCTTTCCCTTTTCCCTAGTCAGTGCTTAAAAGTGTGCTGTTGGTAAGTATCTTTAAATTTACTACCTTAAGACCTAGCTTTTGGTGGACAACTTGAGCCTTTCTTCCCATGTAGTTTTTGTGAATTTACAAGAAAATTAATCTTCTATTCAGGTGGAGGACCTTTTTTATAACATAACCACAAGAAGGAAAGCTTTAAAAAATCCAAGTGAAGAGTATGGGAAAATTTTGGAAGTTGTTGGCAGGTACAGTTCAAAATCTGGGAGTGGGTCTCTGATTTGTCATCAAAAGAATGTATTCTGGTGCTTGTAAATTAAGAACAGCTGCTAAGCTAAATGGCAAACAGCAGAACTAGCCTACATATTGTTCTGATCTGGGTTTAGTCATCACTTCTGAGATTTTTCTCATCTCCCCAGGAAACAGCAGTTGGTCTCTATATCAGTGAAGGTTCTTTGGTGTAACCAGAACAGAATGACCTTAGCTTCTTGAGTTGAAAAGAAATTTATTACAAGGCCAGAAGTTTTCAAGTAGAAAGAGGTGTGGACAGCTGCCCCTTGGAGAGGACAAGAACCAGGGTGGTTTCAGGGATTTAACATTGTAACCCAGCTCTGGTTGTTTTCATTCTTTTCCTGACCCTGCTTTCGAATCTGTTTCCTGAAAAGTGAATCTAATTCACGTAGCTAAGATCATGTCCCCTTGCCTAAGGAGTGAAGACTTCTTTATTGGCAATTTTATCTAGCATGCATCAGGTGGAATGGGATAAAAAGGAAGCTAGCTTACAGGCTGCTAGCAGAAGAGAGGGGCTCAAAGCAAATGAAAACAACATATGTCAATAGTAGACTTAATCTTCCACTACACATGACTCCAGCATGGGCTCTCTGAACCATACGTCTTTGAGATACAATAGAAATGTGTTAACTGTTTTTCAGTATTTAAAAACCTAAAATGAATTAGATATTGCCCATAATAAAATGACACAGACAAACACATTAAATTTCTTTGTTTTTCTCTGGAAATGTATAAACCAGTGTCAGCTCTGGGAATCAAGATGTGATTATAAAATACAGTGAAGGTTTAAATTTTTAAAAATGTATTACAGTAAAAGACACGTGCCATTCATCCATGACAGTTGTCTTTTACTCTAATTTTTTTTTAAATTTAAACATTTACCATATATTTTAATCACCCCTTGTAGAGGAATTCTAGCCGGCTGTTAATTGTTACTTCTTAAGTGGACATAATCTTTCAGTTATTTGAGACCACAGAGGGAGAACCGAGAAAAGTCTGTAAGATATTGGAATAAGACTTAGAGGCAAGGAAGAGTCTGGTGTTGAGATCTCAGAATAAAAATGTGCAGGGTTGTTAAAGCAAGCTTTACAAGATGTCTTAGAAGCAATCTAGGCCTTTTGGGACACTATGCAAATAAAACGGTAGTTGAAGAGATGCTAAGATAAATATCTTGAGTCTAGTCAGCAACCTGTTAAAAACAGAGAAACAGAGAGGGCTGTTTGATTGACTCACATTTAGCATTGCTCTCTCTGAAGTCTCTGCTAGTTTGTTTTCCTGATGGTAAGATAGTATGTAGTAAGATATTTTTGTATATATGTATATCTTTGCTTAACTTGCTCAGTCTAGGGCTGGGGATTTAGCTCAGTGGTTCCAGCACCTGCCTTGGAAGCGCAAGGTCCCAAGCTTGATCCCCAGTACCAAAATAAATAAATTGCTTAGTATACCAATTTAGTTAACTAGAAGGGGGCTCTGACATCTCTTGTGCATTTTGCTAGTCTTTGCTTATCTTTCATTTTATTTTTCTTTACAGGTATTCAATACACAACTCAGGCGTTAGTTTCTCAGTTAAGAAAGTAAGTTCTTGATTATTGAGGGATGGTTTTGTATTCGGAAAAGAAACAAGATTTTTAATAATTTCTCACAACTGTGAGACAGAAAGTCATTGTGTCATTGTGTGTTCTTTTATCAGCAAGGCGAGACAGTTGCTGACATCAGAACACTATCCAGTGCCACAATTGTGGACAATATTCGCTCCATCTTTGGAAATGCTGTTAGCCGGTAAGTTGATAACCTACAAATAAAAAAATACTTTGCATTCATTATCTTGATTTAACATTCAGCTGCATTATTTTGGAATCTGTCAGGTTAGCACCTGCTTTATAAGTTTGTTTTAATCAAATATGCAGACTTCATGCCTCAAATTTGTTAATGGAGTCAGTACTTCATATAATCAACACTTCCTGGGTACATGTTGTCTGTTAGATGTTATAGTTGTAAGTAAGCATGTTCTCTGTAGGTGTTTCTCTTCAAAATATTTATAATGTAAAATTGTCATCATCAAAAGCTTCTGCATTTCCTCTTATTTTCCACTGTCATCACTTTAGGGTTTCATTTATCATTCAACTTTACTACTTGCCTCCCATATTCAAGGCTTTGTGCTAAAAGTCAAGGATATAAAGACAAATTATTTCTGACCCTCGAAGACTAGATTTGGAAGTATTGCCAAGTCTTCATTATCAGGGAAAGCCTAATAGGGAAATTTAATAGTATATAGATTCCTCTTGGTACCCCCATCTGCATGTAAACACTACCGTTTCCATCAAAGATTCCCAGCTACATATCAGAACTTTAGAAAACCCAGAGTGCCCGTGTCATAATCTGAAGGGAAGAATACTGAAAATCTTCCATATGCCAGGCACAAATGAGGTGCTATGGATATACAATTGATTAGAAAATGAGTCCATGACTTCACTTTCCCAAAAAATCCTTTTTTTTTGGTACTGGGAATCGAACTCAGGACCTTGCGCTTGTGAGGCAGGCAGCAGAACCACTGAGCTAAATCCCTAGCCCTAAAAATCTTGAAAAGCAGTTGTCATCACAGTATCAGATTTTTACTTGGAAGAACATATTATTCATTCTTGAGCCAAACCAAGTTCTCAACTAGGGAACAACCAATTTACTTGTAATTACCCTCTCTTTCTCATTAAATGTAAATAAATGAATTTTTTAAAGCTGTGTTTCCAGAGTAAAGGGACAACTGTATCCTACAGTGTAACATGTAATAGCTTGACTAAATTTTTAAGACTCAAAACTAGGAAAATTCCTAGAGACTGTCAGAGATTAGGAATGTCCAGGAGCAGCATTTTCCAAAGCAAGTTTCCAGAACACTTAAGTAAAATAAGTGTGGTTTGTCCAATGACCATTGTTTCACCTAAACTTCCTCTCCCCAGTAAACATTCTGGGGAACTCCATACTGGAACTTCCTTTTAGTGCTATTCATTATAGTAAGGTAATTCAGTAGAGATGAGTTTTTCTCGAAATCACATGTTTGGGATTTAGTTACTAAGATACATAAAACTTTCAGCAAAATAAGGTCCCAGGGCTTGGACTCATACTCCAGCAATGATAGTAGTGCCTGGCACAGAGGCAGAAGTACTTGAAGGCACTGACTGATGGGTAAGTGAGTGGGTGAGTGGGTGGGTGGGTGGATGGACAGTTGGATTCATAGATGGACAAACAGATGGGCAGGTCCAGAGGAACTCAGTGAACCAGGTCTCAGAGGTCTTCATTTGGCAAAGTTTAAGGGAAGGAGCCTTGCATTTTCTGATTCTTTTATAACATTTGAGTTTTCCAGTATTCTCAAAAAGTCTCACAATTTCTCTTTTTTAACTAGAGAACTGATAGAAGTTGGATGTGAGGATAAAACCCTGGCTTTCAAAATGAATGGCTACATATCTAATGCAAACTACTCAGTGAAGAAGTGCATTTTCTTACTCTTCATCAACCGTAAGTGAAAAAGAACTAAAGCAGGAGTATCTACAGAGAATTTTATGGAACCCTGGGATTTCCTGCCAAAATTAAGTTTGATTAGCAAGAATTTCTAATTTTTGTCCTAGAAGGGCATCCTAGGCCTCTGAGTCTGTACACCTTTCTTACCAACTAGAATTAAGAGATTTAAGAAGTACTTCCTAAGCAGAGCTTTCCTCTGCCCTTAGATTAAAGGCTACCATTTGATACTGCTCAGCAAAACACAGAGAGAGGGGTACCTTGGACAAGATATTGTCATTAAAGAAATTGAAAGCTAAGATCCTCAAAAATTTTTTTTCCTTCCTTTTTTTTTTTTGTTCTAGAGATTAAATTCAGGTCCTACACTAAACTACAGCTCCTTTTTTTATATTTTTATTTTGAGACAGGGTCTTGGTAAATCATTAAGTTGCCTAGGCTGGGCTCAAACTTGTCATTCTCCTGCCTCACCTTCCCAGAGTGCTGCGATTAGGCAGCACCACCATATCTGGCTAAGATTTTTCTCTATAGAGAATGAAATTTATGACATAAAGAGCAGTTTCAGGGAGGTAATTAACTAAGTGAGTTTAGATTTTTCCCATACTTGCTTTCTTTCCTTACCTCCCTGCTGACATACTGTTTATGTAGTTCTTACTAAGTACACACTATTTTGCATTCTGCTTTAGAACTTAATTATATATTGCAGAGTTTTGATAGTGAGAGCAACAACAAATAATTCTTCACAGAATCTGGCTTAATTTTCCATTTTTCCATACAAAACTAAGATGCATCTTTCCATACCTTCAGCTTTCATTGTTTTTTATCTCACAAAATCTTTACCTTTGTTGTTTTGAAGCATTTAATAACTTTATAGTTTTTTATTTGTTTTCAAGAAATAATATATTCCCCCTTCCCATTTTAGCACTTAACCAGCTATAAATATCTAGTTATGCATGTTTTATAGCAGGTACTCAAAACAATACAGGAAGAGTGGGGAGAGAACCAGTCATTTATAAACAGATACTGTAAACTCATTTATATTAGCAGGGTTTTTTCCTTCTACATTAGAACGGCTACAGCCTGATATATATAGTAAAATTTGTTACGTCGAAGGCTCAGAAAATGTTTTTTATTAGTTTTTCCTAATCACAAAGACTAACACCTTTGCAGCTCATTCTGGCTATGAAGTAGACAAAAATTTGCCACCTAACTCTCCTGTGGCTGTGTTTCTGTTGGGGCTGCCTACCACAGCCTCTGCATTACTTCAGCTTTCTGTTCACAGTGCCAAGTTCCCAGTCACAAAGAGAGGCTGGGTTCTTTTGCATACCTGCCCTTACTTAATCTGTACACCATGCAGGCTCACCTAGGTTGTAGAGTACTTCTTTCGCCTGTCTCAAGTTCAGATGTCTCAGCAGAGGGGCTCCAGCTGTCCTTTTGTCAGGTGCCCACAGGTGGTCCAGGCCTGTGTGGTCAGGACATGTGTTACTGACTACAAGGACATTATTGAAGGGGCAGTGGTTGTGGTGAACACTCAAATAATTGTCTCTCCATCAATAAGATCACAGCTACTCTTATCATTGAAAATACAAAGATGTAATACATCCTTGGTTATAATTACACAAGACAGCAGATCATCAGCCAGTCATCTAAAATCTGTCTGGAGCTAAAGGAGAACTGTTTTCTGAAAACAGATCTCTGCTTTTAGTCTTCTCCCACTCTTTATTGTTTTCTACCTTGTTCAAACCTGAGTCATTTCCTAAATTACCTTAAACACACATTTAGCCATTTGTATACTGCCTGAAATTCTGGAAAACTCACTCTTTTCCTTCATTGCCCAGCATGGATAGCCTATTGTTGGAACTCCCTATGCAGAGTTAGCTGCTGGCTCATTGCACCATTTGGCACGCACATCTGTAATAGTGGTAACCACTTGGGTTTGAAAATATCTATCAGCATAGTGTTTCCCAGAACTTGGCACATGTGAGAAGTAGCTGGCATGTCTTTGTAGAATGAAAAATCTGAGAATGCAGTGTGGGCTGACTGAAGGGAAGGGAAATAGAGAGGCAGAATTTATTACCCTTTCCTCTTTTCTGCTACATAATGAGAGGAGAAATTTCCAGGGCCGTCCTGAGATGCTGGGAAGTAATAATACATAAAGGGAGCCTTGTTCCTGGGGATCTGTTGCGTGTATTGCTCTGGAGGCACTCTTCCTGTGGTGATTTATGGCTTTGTATGGCTCTGCACCTATTGCCTCACCCCTAAGGACAGTTGTTATCTAGTTTTCTTTTCATTTTTTAGATCGTCTGGTAGAATCAACTTCATTGAGAAAAGCCATAGAAACGGTGTATGCAGCATATTTGCCCAAAAACACACACCCATTCCTATACCTCAGGTAATGTAGCATCAAACTGTTTACCCAAGATTTAAAAGAACAGAAATTCTGTCAGGCTGTCCTCTGTGAAAGAGAAGGGCTTGCTAGTAGCTGAGTACCAAAATTAGTGAATCTCATATACTATTGGCAAAAGGGTGTTCTGTCCCTTCTCACAGGTAAAAAGCACAATTTTCCTTCATTTATTCACTAATTTGGCAGAACCTCAAAGAGAGCCCTTGCTGTGTTGGTGACAGAAAAGTGATTAACATGTCTAACCCCTTCAGGAAGAGTAGACACATGTGCTCAGGAAACTGAACAGTCCTTCTACTGGGTCAAAACGGTCCTACTGAGAAGCCAAAAACAGCTACAATTTTCCTTCCATGAATGAGTCTTTTGCTTTATGGAGATTCTTTGTGTGGCATAATTATTTTTGATTGCCCGGTGCTTCACTTAAATAACTTAGCAATCATAAATTCAGCATTTGCAAAGGAGGAGTAAAATATCATGGTTAAAAGTTTTTAGTTTAAATGTAGATTTGTTAACTCCCATGTGTATTCCTTTGCTAGATTGAGTTATCACCTTATTCCATCTCTGTATTGACAGGGTCTGAATGGAGGATAAAACCACATAACAATTTGAAGAAAAATTTTAATGAAAGAACTACAAATAGGATTAGAGTAGAAGGAGATGGAATGATAAGAAGTGAAGTGACAGTGGGTGCAGGTGTAGGGAACAGCCATTACCACTATGGCTGAGGTAAAGTCCCCTTGCCACACTCTCCCTCAGCCCCTCCTGGGATGAGATGAACCTTGTTGAAGAGGATGTGGCTGCATGGATGAGAGGTCAATAAGGTACTCCTCAGGCACTACTCTAAGGGGTTGCTGGGGAGTACTGCCCATAAGAAGGGACCACATGGACCCAAACCTGGCACAAAACCCACTTCCTCCATTGTCCATTTACCACAAAACCTCACATTACAAAGCTCCATTATCAGAATAAGCAATAAAGGATGGACTTGGGAAAAGGGCAGTAAATTAATAGCTGGCACAGCCTCTGAACTGACTCTTGAGTTACATTTTAATGGTAGAAAGTTCACTTCCATCTATTCTTATTTTGATCCTCATAATACTGAAAAGTAAGTAGGGGGCAGATTGATGGTTACCTTGTTTTTACAGATGAGAAAACATCCAGGGAAGGTAAGTGAGTTGCCTGAGGTCACATAATAAGAAATTCCACTAGTTTGAGAATGCTAATAATAACAGTATCATAAAATAAATGTGTCAGGTACATGCAAATTGCTTTTCATGAATTTAATCCCCACCATAAACCTGTAAGATAGCTAATGCTGTTATGCTCACTTTACAAATGAAAGAATAGGCAAAGAAAGATAATATAACTTATCCAAAACTACATGATTCTTAAGTGGCAGAGCCAACATTTGAACAGCCACTTAGACTTGACCATGAGGTTTTTACCATTGTCATTTGGCTTCCCCAGATCATCTGGCTACAACATATACCATGTGTAGATTTTTCCCCCCATCCTGCACAATCTGAGGTAATTGTGCTCTCTCTTTTTTTTCCTGCCAGTTTAGAAATCAGCCCCCAGAATGTGGATGTCAATGTGCACCCTACAAAACATGAAGTTCACTTCCTGCATGAGGAGAGCATCCTGGAGCGGGTGCAGCAACACATTGAGAGCAAGCTCCTGGGTGCCAACTCGTCCAGGATGTACTTCACTCAGGTGGGGCACATCTCCAGCTCTGTGATACATTTGCCACTTTGAAATGTGCCCTTTCAAATGTGAGAGCCCAGATTTTTTCCTTGTGCTTTAGAACTTTCTTTGTAAATATTATCTCAATAGTTTCCTTTCCACAACATTTACTTTTTTGAGCCTAATTGTGAAAATACTGTCCTTGGGCCTGGAGTCATATGGCCTGAGTTCTCTTCCTCACTGCCTCCACCTGGGAACTTGGGCCATCTTCCTAGGAAAACAAGCTGCCTGAAAACAGAATAGGCAGCATTTTTAATGCCTTCATTTCCATTAGATATGTCCAGGAGGAGGCTGATCCCACCTACACAGGGAAGAGTGTACGGTCCAGGCCCCGGTAGGCAGTAGAAAGAGTGGGAAGAGCAGGGGCTTCAGTGTCAGACAGACCTGAGTGACCAGCCATGTCACTACACTTTCCTGGTCTCTAAGTCTCCCTCAGTAAATTTGGAACTAATCACCCCCATATCGAAGGACAGTTACAAGTAGTTGAACAGTGGACAGAAAGAATCTATTCATCTTAAGACAACCAGATATTGACATACAGTAAATATAAACTAAAGGCAACAACTATACCTCCATTAACAATAGAAAAGAATTCAGCAGTAGGGGCCGGGGATTTAGCTCAGTGGTTCTGCCACCTACCTCTAAAGCACAAGGTCCTGAGTTCAATCCCTGGTACCAAAGGAAAAAAAAAAAAGAATTCAGCAGTAATAACATTGAGTTAACTAACTAAAGATTAATAAAGCTTAATGGTTATACCAGTAAGGATAGAAGGAGGAGGGAATGGGAGAATGAAAATGTAAAATTTGAAAAATTAAGTAGTGGAAGATGAGAGAAAAGTGAGGTAAAAGGTCATATTGAGGAGTAAAAGAAAATTAATAGAATTAGATAAAAGTAACAAAAAATAAAAAGGCAACAAAATAAAAATTAAGAAGATAAAAGGAAAAAAACCTAATGAAGAAAAAGAAAATGATTGTCTTCCCCTTTTTTTGAGTGGTGAGTGGTGAGGAAGGCACACAAAATCACTCCATGAGGTTGCTGCTATGGATATGTGATATATGGCTGAAGAAGTAGGTGGGGGAGTGAATGATAAAACCCTGTGCCTAGAGCAGAGTGTTGCAGTAGGACTAATATTACTGGGCCCATAGTCCAGGATGTTGGAGTCAGAACCATGCTCTGCTGTGCCTCATCATTCCACTTTTATGTTTGAACGGTGAACTAGTCAAGAAAATATGGTTAGCATCCCTGATTTGTTCTGTTGTTAGCTTTCTGTCACTATGACAAAATACTTGAAAGAATCAACTTAAAAAGAGGAAAGGTCTGTTTTGACTGATGGTTTCAGAGTTTGTAGTCTGTGGTCACTTGGCTCCATCTCCATGTGGTAATGTAGAACTTCGTGGCTGGGAACACATGGTAGAGCATATCTGGGAAGCAGAGAGAGCATTCACTTTTATAACCCATCAATGGATTAATCTATTGATGAGGTTAGAGCCCTCATGATCCAGTCACTTTCCAAAGGCCTCACCTCAACACTGCTGCTTTAAGATCAAGGCTTCAGCGCATGAGCATTTCAGATCCAAACCATAACCCCAGGCTACCCCCTAAAGAAGGCATAAAGTAAGATTTCAGCTCCGTGGCAGTGGTTTTCAAAAAGTTTAGGGGAGGGCCAGGGATTTAGCTCAGTGGTTCTGCCGCCTGCCTGGCAAGCACAAGGTCCCGAGTTCGATCCCCGGTACCAAAAAAAAAGTGTAGTGGAGTTTCCTGGGTTAGGAAAACTAAGGGACCAATTTTTTGCCTCGTGAAGTTTCTTTCACATCCCTATGGAGTTTGGAAGTTTCAGCCTAAGGGTGAGGAGTGGGATAAAAACCTTGGCAAGAGTTCCTGATGTGTGACTCCCTGTTCTTCCTATCACATCCCGGCAGGAAGTGCTTGGTGACTTGTTATGTTATTTTGGTGATATGCTTCATCCCTGGGCTCATCTGGCGACCCCCTGATTCCTTAAGTTGCCCATCAGCATCTAGCTTAATGGCTTCACCAGGCATTATTATCATTACCTGAGTCAGTTTTCCATAGATTGCAAACTTAAGATTTTCTCATTGTTTTTCTGTATTGACTGTAGTTCTATATAGAACTTTATTTCATTTGTGAGAGTTATTTAGTTATAGTGAAATATGTTTCCCACTAGAAAATAAGGCCAAATGCTGAATTTTTTCTATTTAATTGCCAATTTTCAAAGAAATGAGTTGATGCCCTAGCAATTTCCAGTGACTTCACCCTCTCTTCTCCTTCCCTCTTCTCCCTCCTCTTTCTCTATTTCTCAGTATTTTTTCATCAGTATTAACAAAGCACACTCTTAATCCATTGAGATCATTTTTTTTGTATTGTTGCTTGATGTGGTTAGGATTGAAAATGTCTCCAAAAAGCCTCCTTGTGTTGAAGGATTAGTTGCTGATTGGGTTTGGGGAAGAGATTAGATCATGAGAACTCTTAAGTTTCCACTGATAAGATCATGATATGATGATATTTTGAGGAGATGATGGAAATAGGAACTGGGCCATAGTTGAAGGGAGTGAATCATGAGAGGGCTCTTTCCTTCTCTTTCTCTTAACTTCCTGGTCACCATGAGGTAAGTAGCTTTGCACTACCATGTCCTGCCATGGTGCTCTGCCTTACCTCAGGCCCACAGCAATGGAGCAAATGACTATGGACTAAAAGCTCTGAAACCATGAGCCAAAATACAAAATAAACTTCTTCCTCTTTTAAGTTAATCTCAAGTATTTTGTCACAGTGACAAAAAGGTGACAAACACAGTGCTCACATGAGCCCATCTTTGTCCATTGGAAGCACATTTCCTTTGATGCCTTTGTCTTTCAGCCCAATTATACTACTTTTGTAGTTCCCATGTTTCTGACAAGACAATATGTACTTTCCCATCCCATGCTCTTGGTTGGCCATTTCTCTGAAGAGCTCTGGTTCATTTTAGTAAGGATTGGTATGGTGACTATAATCTGGGACCCGAGGTCCTTATTGCTTTTGGGTGGTAAGTATTTTTATGTCTCTCCAGTGGAGAGAGGTAAAACATGTATATTTTAAAAATAGAATAAATAAATAATAAAAAATAGAATGGTAGTTGTCAGAGGCTGATAGGAGGAGGAAATTGGAGGTTATTGTTTAATAAATACAGAGTTTAACTTTAGGAGGATGAAAAAGTTCTAGAGAAATATGCTGGACATAATTGCACAACAGTGTGAATGTACTAAATGCCATTGAACTCTCGCTTTAAAATAGCTAAAGTTATTTATGTTACATATATTTTACCACAACAGAAAAATAAAATCCTCTTGTAGCAGAAAAATAGACAAAAATATGGGAACTTTATACTGATATTTACATTTTAAACTAAGTTTAAGGTTAGGACTTTGTTTGATGAATTTTATGCTTATAAACCTTTTATTTTATACGTTAAATTTTGGTCTAAATTGCTTCCATAATAATTCTGTAATGATGACTATACCTAGTTCTTCTTTCTCCAGTACTGTTCCATTTTGGGACCTGGACTTCTGTCCTTCACATTCTGAGTCTTGCCACTGTCTTTTTTGATACAGACTTTGCTACCAGGACTTGCCGGTTCCTCTGGGGAGATAGTTAAATCTACACCAGGTGTGACCCCCTCATCTACTTCTGGAAGTGGTGACAAGGTCTATGCTTATCAGATGGTCCGTACAGATTCCCGGGAACAGAAGCTCGATGCCTTTCTGCAGCCTGTGAGCAAGGCCCTGCCCAGTCAGCCCCAGGCTGTTGACCCAGGGGATAAAACAGATGGTTCTAGTTGCAAAGCTGGGCAGCAAGATGAAGACATGCTTGAAATCCCAGCCCTTGGTGAAGTGGCTGCCAAGAGTCAGAACACAGAGGGGGATGCAAACAAGGGTGCTTTAGAAACAGCAGAAAAGAGAGCACCCACTTCTAGCCCAGGCAACCCCAGGTATGCCCTTTTGGGGAGGGTGCAGCTTGCCTTCATGTTCTTGAGTAAAACTGTCTTATAACTTTGGCTTTTCATGAGTCACTGGCATCTTCTCTTGCTTGACTTCTCCTCTGCCTCCACTGGGAGAGTTCGGTGGCGCTGCCCACTGTCTGCTTTTGACCACAACTTGATAGCTGCCGCTAGTGTTCTCTGAAATATCTTCAGTGTCTTTGGTTCTACATATTAGTTTAAAACACATCAGAAAGAAAGCAGAAGATGATTCCTTTGTTTTTAGTAAAACATTTGATAAATCACAATCCCAGAAGTGGCTAGAGAGACGCTTGAAATAGCTCTTTCATTCTTCCCAAAGCTGTTACCACTCCTTTCAAAAGAACCACACTTTGAGAATCTAGTTTATATTGGGCCGGGGATTTAGCTCAGTGGTTCTGCCACCTGCCTCGCAAGCCCAAGGTCTAGAGTTCGATCCCCAGTACCAAAAAAAAAAAAAAAAATCTCAGAATCTAGTTTATAAAACCCCCTGAATTGAGCTAGTGGTGAAAGAAAGCAAGAAAAAAGGGCCAAGAATGATGGTAGTAAAGACTGTCACTTAGTTTTGAGCATTTCCAGCGTATGCCTTGCAGGTTCTCTAAGGACATTATTTTGCTGAAATCTGTAAGGTGGCTGGCTGTATTTAATGTGTACACATGCTAAACTTGGAGCTCATGGTGAGATCATTTGCTTAAGGCCATATGTGTACTTAGTGACTGGCCACCAGAAATCTTTGCACTAAACGGCCATTTGACTTGGATGAGTTCCTTCAGTTTGCTCATGTTTGAGTTATCCTAGCAAGACAACTTCTAAGGATTTTTACCAGAAAATAATAAAGTTTGGTGGTATTTATTGTGCTACTATTGTATGCCAGATGCACACCGTATCTCATTTAATGATCTTATTAAAAACCTTACAGAAGAAGCATTTCATTTGTTTATTCTTTGGGGAACTAAATGATACCAGGCCACACTCAAAGACTTTTTTTTTCAAGGGGGTGATTTGGGGACAGGATCTCGCTGTGTAATCCAGGCTGGCCTTGAACTCACAGTGATCTTCCTGCCTCAGCTGCCCAAAGGCTGGGATTACAAGCATGTGACACCACACGAGAAATTTTTTTTAAAGCAGAAGTCATATCTCATCACTCATTCTGCTGAAAAACCTTTCAGTGGCTTCACATTCCAAGTTGGAGATAATTTAAATCCCTTGCCCTGCCTTCCCCTGACCTTCCACTTTCCTTTCTCCTCATGGCATGTTAGCCCTGTGGCTCTTGTGGCTGATCTGAACTGACTCAGCTTCTTCCCCTCTGGTTGCCCTTGCTGTTCCTCAGCCTAGGAAGCCTATGGCTTTCTGTCACTCAGGTTCTCAAGTGTCACCCCCTGCCAGAGGCCTTCTTTGTCCATTTACCTAACATTCTCTTCTCACTTCCCTATCATTCTGTTACTTTGTTATCTAACACCAATCACTACTAGTAACTATCCTTTTTTTTTTCCTGTTGCTTTTTTTACTCTCCCACTATGAAGTAAGCATCATGAGGGCAGGCAGCTGTTTTTACTGCTATATGTAGATGGTATTTAACAGTGCCTGATGGTCTGATAGATGAAAGAATGGAGGAAGGAAAGTGGGTGGGAAGGTCAGTCGGTCAGTCAGTTCACTTGCTCAAGGCCCTACAGCTCTCAGGGCCTAACCAGACTCCACATCCTACTTATATACAGCTGTGGGGCCAGCTTTGGGATCTGAAGTTTGTCAGATGAGCAGCATGCTGGAGAATAAACATCCTCCTGGCCTGCTGCTAGCACAGGGGTCTCTCTGTAGCTATGTAGAAGCTGCCAACAGCACAGGGAATCTGTTCCCATCTCCTAAATGCCACAGAACTTGACTGAGTTAAAAAATTAAAAGGAAGAGTAATAGTCTGCTGGTTTCTTTTCTTATAGAAAGAGACATCGGGAAGACTCTGATGTGGAAATGATGGAAAGTGGTTCCCAGAAGGAAATGACAGCAGCTTGTACCCCTCGGAGAAGGATCATTAACCTCACTAGTGTTTTGAGTCTCCAGGAAGAAATTAATGAGCGGCGACATGAGAGTACGTAAGTGCCTGGAACTCTGAGAGCCTGGACTGCTGGCATTAACGTTTTGGAACTGCAGAAAGCATTCATGTTCTCGGGGTAGCCACCACACTGTGCAGGGCAAACCTCTTCCCCTTACTAACCCACAGCATTAGCAGTTTAAAAACAATTACAAGAGAAGGAAAAGCGAGAAAGTAATTTATTTTAATTAGAATTAAGGGACATTCTCATTAAATCATAGGAGTCAGAGTAAGGCAGTCATTTCAGTAATTTCCAGTTTGTTTCTCTTTTAGCATTGTAATGACCACCAAAATTCATATCCTGTGGACTGAATGGGATGTGCTATTGCTGAAAGTTCACAGGCTTTTTTAATCCTTGGCACTACTACTTCTACTGTGTGACCTTACACTTGTGACTTAATCTTTCTGTGCCTCAGTTTTTTCTCATCCATAAGCTGAGATTAATTTTACCCTGGAAGACCATTGTGCTGATTAGAGATCAAATATAAATAAAACTCTAGTTACAGAGTAAGTTGTCAGTGGATATTTTTATATCCTAAGACAAAGTAGTAAATTATCTTCCTCAGAAATGCTTTTGAGACTACCTGATACCAGCTCTGCACTGAGTACATAATTTAGCCATGACCTCCCATTTTCAACTATTATACCTACCTAACTACCTACCTTTCTCCCTCCTTCTTTGTTTTCTTTTTTGATTCTTCTGAGACAGGGTCTCGCTATGTAGTTCAGGCTGGCTTTGAACCCACTGTGTAGTCCAAGCTGGCCTCAGGCTCCAAGCAATCTTTCTGCCTCAGCCTCCCCAGTGCTGGGATTATAGTCATGTGCACCCACACCCAGCCTACATTTCTTGATTCAAATAATTTCAATACTGTACTATAAAATGTATCTTAAAACATAATTTTCTGGATTAATTTTGAAAAGGGAGCAAAGGGAGCAGTGAGGGAACAAGCAGTACCTTCCTTGCTGACCCTTAATCTTTTGAAACAGCTGCTGTGACTCAGTGGCCTCAGATTTTTTTTCTGTCCCAGTCACCACTTGTCTGAGTTAATTCAGAAAAGCCTCAGTTTGCCTTTCCCTGTTCATTGTCTTTTCTTACCTTTCTGGGCAAAAGATACATATAGGGTTCCTCACTACACTTGAGCAGGATAAAAACTGTACTGTGACTGAGTTTTTGCCAGTTTAAGAAATGGATGCTAGTTGGCTTCTGATTTTTATTTCCATAAAGACTTGTTCTATTGGCTCTTTCCCTCCAATATTAACTTTGAAATTGGGAGCTTTTGAAGCACTTTCAAATTTAAATAATATAAGAAAGGTGGGCTGGCTGGGGATTTAGCTCAGTGGTTCTGTCGCTTGCCTTGGAAGGACAAGGACCCGAGTTCGATCCCCAGTACCAAAAAAAAAAAAAAAAAGAAAGGTGGGCTGTTTCTTGATCTCTTCAGCAGTCCTCCTCACAGTAGTTATATCACACACACACACACACACACACACACACACACACCCTCACACATATATATCAAGTGTGGTCAGGTTTAGGGTCTTGTTAAGGCTAAAGTGATTACATGTTATCTCATTTTTGTCTCTTAGTTTTATGAGGGAGACAGAGCAGATGCTGTTATCTTGTATTTTAAATGAGGAAATGGAAGACAAAGTGGACAAGTTATTTGAAACATCCCAACAATCCAAAACAGGCCCAGAGCCAGGCATGGTGTAGTCTTATAGTCCCAGCTACTCAGGAAGCTGAGGTGGAGGGATCCCTTGAGTCTAGGAGTTTGAGGCTAGCCTGGGAAACAAAGCAAGACCCTGTGTCTGGGGGGTGGAGGTACTTGCCTTGTATAGTGAGTTGTCATTGGCAATGGCCTTCACACAGGAAGCCTCACCCAGTATTTAAATGCAAAATCAGGTCACTGCCCTGTGCAGGATAAATGTACCTTGTGATTCTGATCCCCTCAGCCAAAGTTGGGATCTTCAGACATAGAGGTGTCCATCAGGGCATGGGAGCTTCTACTCTGCAGATAGGCATGAGGAACCAGTGGGCTGGGTTCTTCTTTCTGGATCCTTCTTTAGATTTGGCTTTACTTGCTCTTCTGGGAACAACAAGCTAAGCCCCAAGGCCACTGTTTTGAAGTCAGATTCGTGGTCTGGCTTTGAAGCACAGGAGGATTCTGCCCCATTTTGTTCCTTACAGAATGACAGGGAAATGCATACAGACTTCTAGGGCTGTGGGGATGTTAGGATAGGAGTGAAATACATCCTGATAAGAATCATGAAGAGGCCCAGTGAAGAAGAGTGCTGTGCTGGGTAAATAGATGCTACCCACCCCAACCTTCCCTGCTGGCAAGGCTGCACTCCAGTAGCTTCAAGTGCGTCAGAGCAGGCCACGAACATTCTGCATGAAAAAATCTCTGACCCCTTTTTAGTGAATTACACTGCTTTCTCTTCCCTCCAGTGCCTCATTATTCAAGAGTATTTGATGTTCTCCAGCTTTTAAAATAATCATTTTCCGCCTACACAGAACATCCTGTGGAGACATTGAGTTTCCAGTGGTAACAGAGGGGAACACTTATTCTAAAAATGAGGAAAATAAGCCTCTTTTATGGAGGCAGGATAGTCACAGAGCTTATATAATAATGTGAGAATTTACCTGTGGTGCCCAGAATGTTAAAGAAAAGGTATGGTAAAAACATGATGCACAGGCTTGTTGCTGTCCCCTCATTCTTTCCCTGATTTCTCCAACTCCTCTAGCCCCTCTTCCTTTTTTGGGGGTGGGGGGGATGTTTAGTTCTTTCATTAAATATAATAGTATAGGGTTGCTGGGGAATGTAGCTCAGTGGGCGCACTTGCTAGCCTATGTGAGGTCCTGGGTTCAATCTCTAGCACTAATGGTAATAATAATAACTTATGTATATACACATATACATACAGATATATAAATGTAGATAAATACAAAGTCATATTTATAATATATATGTAGAATCTGCAGAAAAAAAAAGAATACCTTCAAGAACATCGCCTATTTAAGAAACAATATTGCTGTCACTTTTGAAATACCTATATATTGCTTCCCTGTCCTGTCCCCTTCCTTTCTCCCTTAGTGATAACTACTACTCTGAATTATGTTATAATTATTTCCTTCCTTTTTATTATAGTTTTGCCAGCTATATTTGTATTTTTAAAAAATTGTTTCATTTTGCAACCCTTAATATTTTATATAAATGGAATTATTCTGTACTTGTTGTATATGAATACACACTTACACATTATATTCCTAAGACATCCATCTTGTTAAATAAGCTCTGGCTTACTTTATCTGTGGAATAGAGTCTGCTTCTGAATATGTAGCTCATTCATTGTGCTGGAGGACATTTGGATGACTCATGGCCTCAGGCCCTGGCTGCCTTCTCACATCCTTGCACTGCTTCCTGACCCTGAGTTGATCCCTGGGGTGGCACACAGGTTGGGAAGCTCTACTCCTAGGGGATTTTGTATAGGAGAGTTACTTCTGGATCGTAAAATGACAAATTGTTTTCTAAAGGGTCATATTAATTTACATTCTCTCCAACCACGTACAGAAATTCTATTTGCTCTTCCTCTCCAGTATTTGATATTGTGAGACTGCTTTTTACCAGTTGGTATTGTGAAACAGTATCTGATGGTGGTTTTTATTTGTATTTCCTTGGTGAGTAATAAAGGTTAGTAAATATATTTCCTCTTATGTTAAGGGCCTGTTTGAGTTTTTTTCCATTTTTCTGTTTTTTATTTTTTCTAACTGACTTAAGAGGTATTCTATATAGTAATCAGTTACGTGAAAATATCCTCCAGCTTAGGACTTATTCTTTTATGAACACTTACTTTATGAATAGAAATTCCTTGGTTTAGTGTAGGCAGATTTGATCAGTTGTTCTTTACAGTCTTTTTGTTGTGGTTTTTATGTTTGTTTTGGTTTGGGAGATTTTTCTGAGATAGGGTCTCACTTTGTTGCCCAGGCTGGCCTCAGACTCCTGGGCTCAGGCAATTATTCTGTCAGCCCCCCAAGTAGCTGGGACATAGGCATATACCACTGCACCCAACTGGCTTTTTTTTAAATCTTAAGAAATTCTTCCTCTGTGATGATTAAAGACATACTGTATGTGGGAGTAGATGGGTGTGTATGTGTATTTGTGGTGCTAGGGAAATATGTACTGTTATATTACCTTCTGAAAAGCTTATACTTGAGTCTCATCTGAATTTGATTTGGGTATGTTGTTAGATGCCAGTTTCTACTTGATCATCTAATTCAGTATCATAGTTGTAAGTTTATTTTTATTTTACCATATATTATTTTCTCAGTTCTTCCTCTTAGACCTTTCATCATCTGCCTGAAGCACATCTTTTTGTGTGGGTTCTTTGGTGGCTCCTTTCAGACTGCTTTAACAAATTACCATAGAATGGATGGCTCAATAAACAGAAGAAATTTGCCTTACAATTTTGGAGGCTGAGGTGTCTCTTGACATGCTGGCAGCTTCATAGTATGGTGAGGGCATATTTCCTCACAGATGATGTCTTCTAGCTGTGTTCTTATGTGATGGAACAGCCTACCTGGCTCTCTGTGGTCTTTTATATATGGGGCACTAATCCCAATCACGAAGATGTAGCCAATCACTTTCCCAAGACACCACCTCTTAATAGTATCGCTTTGGGGTTAGGATTTCAACATACAAGTTTTGGAAGGACACAAACATTCAGATAGTGGCAGTGGCAAACTGAGTTTGCCTTGTGTAATTCATCCTTATTTGAAAAGTATTTGTTGGATTTAGAATTCCAGACCAGCAGTTGTTTTTCCTTAGACCATTGAAGGTATTTTTCTGCTTTTTCTGATTTCTCCTGTTACAGTGGAAAATTCAGCCATCAGTCTTATATTTAATACTTAGGGGGTGACCTCTCTTTTCTGAGTGTTTTTAGCATATCTTTTCTTAATATCCTGCAGTAGATCGACGTGTCAGGTATAGGTTCTGTTGTCTTTTATAGAACTGTGATTTGACATTTTTCATCACTTCTGGGATACTCAAATATTTTGTCTTCAAAGTCTTCAAATATTATTAGCCTCCCTTCTCCATCCCTTCCAGAAATTAAATGATATATTTATTATTGTCCATGTTACTTTAGATAAGTTCTTTTTTTAATATTTTTTCTTTACTTCTTTGTTTCAGATAACTTGAGATCTGCCTTCCAGTTAATTACCTTGTCAACATTAATCTGTTATGTCCATCTTGATTTCAAATTGTATTTAGAACAACAGTTGTAGGATTTTAATTTGGTTCTTTTGGAAACCTTCTTGATCATTTTTGATAGTGTCCTGCTGCTTACTCATAGTTTTAATACCTCTTGGTCATACTGAACATATTGATTTAACTTATTCTTTATTGATATTTCTAAGCTCAAACCTTTGCAAATCTCATCTTGTAGTTGCTTCATAGACTAGTTCTTGATACTATGTCTAGATTGAAGATAGATTTCTCCAGGAATAATTTGCTTTTGATTCTACTAGGGATATGGAAGAACAATCAGACCTGGTATCATTTTAAACTAAAATGTCCATGTAAGGTTTTCAAGCAGTCTATTTATTGTAAATTCTGGCTGCAAAAGCATATGAAGACCAGTTTATGATTACACACTCGAGGAAGTTACTTTTCTTTACCACTTGGCAACACCAAAGTTTGAGGTGGCATTTTTGCTGCCATTTGAGGGAGAGTAGAGTGGGCACAGAGCATAGTAGTTTCTCTTTCACTCAGGGTGTGGCCCTTGGGATCTCAGCTTCACACATGGGGAAATGATCTTCTGTTTGACTCCCCATTGCATTCCATCTCTAGGGTTTTGTCTTCCTTTTGTATAATGACAGAGCCTGTGAAAACTAAAGTTTATAACTCCTGAGATTCCTCTGATCTTTAAACCTAGCTTTAGAGCTCTCGTTACTTCTCTAGGTTCCTGCTTTGTCTTTGATTTTTATCTGTGTGTATTCCATAATATTTGAGAAATATTTGTTGCATTTTAAACAATCAGTTATGTGTTCTGTATTTGCTTTGTCTTCAGCAGGAGGCTGAGTTCAGCACCTTTGCTTGTCTGGTGTGCAGTTCTGGTGCTTGGAACTGTGGTGTATGAAACAGTGTTGGTAGGGTTCCATAACTTAGCTGGTTTTTGTTTGGATTTTGTTTTCCAGCTCTCCGGGAGATGCTCCAAAACCACTCCTTTGTGGGCTGTGTGAATCCTCAGTGGGCCTTGGCCCAGCATCAGACCAAGTTGTATCTTCTCAACACCACCAAGCTTAGGTAAATCAGTGAGTATGTGAAAAAATAAGAACCACTGTTCTAGAACAGCCACTAGAACAGTGGTGGCAAACCTATGTCATGCGTGCCATAGCTGGCTGTATCAATTGAAAGCTCTAAAAGGTTCACCATCACTCTACTAGAATGGCACAGGGCACAGGAAGCTGGGGAAAGCAGGATGAAGTGGTTGGAAAGGCCACAGGGTTGAGAATCAGACGGATGTGATTACAAAATCAGGTTTGACCATTTTCCATTTATATAACTATGAGGAAGGTATTTTCCTAGAGTAGGTCTCAGATTTCTCAACTGTAACTTGGGATATTACTACTTAAACTTGGTGGGGTTTTTTGCAAGATTAAGAGATAACGTAAGAATTCTAATCCTCTGTAAAGGCTCAACACTCAGTTAAATGTTGGCTGTGGACCAGGTGTTGAGGGCTTAGAATGTAAGATAATTATACTATCTGCTTTGTAGCATAGGTACTACAAGGGAGCAAGAAAATCTGATGCTTTGTAGCTTTGCAAATGTACCACAGGGTTACTCTAACCACCAGACAAGCCAGTAGTGTTGATTAGCACATGAAGGGTGACCCTACAGAACCATAATGTTTTGTTCATAGCTGGTGATATTTCTGTAGTTTCCAGGGACCCTGGTAGATCAGCTCCTACTGAGTGTAGAACCTATATTAAATATGTTCCCAGTTAGGTAATACATGTAGAAAGATCCTGCCACCTTGCATGTACTTGACTTCACTTATCTACTGTGGGTCTTTTTTCCTTCAAGCCCTGCTGTGGCCTCAGAGTTCTTCTTGGTCTTGTGAATGGGGCCGCCACTATACATTGCTTGGACTTGGCACATTAGATAAAAACCTAAAGCTTACTGTTGGCTCACATAGCTCTTCAGATACTCACAGTTCATTCTTTTGAGGCTTGGAAGCCCTCTTGGTATAGCTCTTTTCAAGTTCCATTATCTGTTTTGAGAGTCCTTGGGGCTGTATAGTGAGCTATCACTTACTACTCTGTTAGAAACTGTACTCCTTTTGCTTTTTTTTTTCCCCCAGTATATCTAAGTGCATGACTTCCAAGGCTCCAAATCACAGTTGTATTCAGGTTTTCACTTCACAAAAGTCCAGGCCATTGCCAGAATTGGAGCTACAGGTTGAACATCCCTAACCTGAAATCCAAAATGCTTCAGAATCAAAGTTTTTGAATACCAACATGATGCTACAGGGCAAAATTGCACACCATGAAACTTTGTTTCATGCACAGATTTTTAAAAAATATTATATAAAATAATCTTCAAGTTATGTGTCTAAGGTTTATGTAAAATATAAATATATTTCTTGTTTAGATATGGGGCCTATCCCCGCGGTAACTTATATATATCCAAATATTCTAAAATCTGGGGTAAAGTGACTTACAGGTTTAAGTAGGGGAAATGGTAAGCAAACAAAAAAATTTCTTAAGTTTCACACATGGTGTTAAAAATCTCTTACAGCCGATTTTCTCTTGCAGCAGAAGAGTGGGGACAAACCAGACTTAGTATTCAAACCTGTCTTTGGAGGCTGGCCCCCCACATCCCTGTTGAGATATTGGAAATTCCAGCTGTCTGGAAGAATAAGAGATCTTGTTAGACTGTTAATTAACCAGGTTCCATAGCCAGGTAGAACCATCAATATGGCCCATTTGTATTTCAAGGATTACTTCTCCCATTTGTCCCTATTGGTTGGCTCCAAAAATGGATTCAGCTTTTGCTTAAGGTCACTTTATTTTTGTTTTCAGTGAAGAACTGTTCTACCAGATACTCATTTATGACTTTGCCAATTTTGGTGTTCTAAGGTTATCGGTAAGTTTATTAAGCCTCATCACTTCTGAAATTTTAACTGGTCATTTCTGAAAATAGGAATTCTATAGTATCTTGTTTGTAGTATATTAAAATTTATTAAATATGCTGCTTAACAGTTTCTGTGTTGTATACTTTGTATATGGAGGTATCTAATTACAGTACTTTTGTATCTTTTAGCCAAATAGTCATTTGATAGCCAACTTAAACATATGTTACTATTATAGAAGTAGATATATATCTACTTAAACTTGGAAAGAAGTATAAATGGAAATAAACATTCTGTAAAACCATGGTCAAAACACAGCCCTTAGTAACTATTTATTTTTGTGGTGCTGGAATCAAACCCAGGGCCTTGTGCATGCCAGCCAGGCACTCCACTACTGAGCTACATCCCTGTGCCCCTAACAATTTTGGTCCATTTCTTCCAAGACTTTCAGTACCTAATTTTAGAGTAAAAAAATCATACTGCCTATCTTTAGAACATTTTTATTTGACATACTCTATAAAAATGCCTACTAGAATTTTAAATTAGGATTGTTGTTAAATTGTAGATCTGAGAAAAACTTGTTAATCCCTTAGTATTTCACATACGTTATGCTATTATAAAAGGTAAACAATTTTTTAAATTTCAGTTTTCAGTTATTTATGACTAATATGTAGACATACACCTGAATTTTATACATTGATATGATTCCTTGCAACCTTGCTAAACTTACTAGCTTTAGTAACATTTTTATAGATTCTGTTGGATTTTCTACGTAATCATATCATCTGAGGAAAAAGGAAGTTTTACCTCTTCTGTCCAATCTGGATGGATTTTTCTTGACTGTACTGGCTAAAACTTTCAGTACAGTGTTGAAGAGAAGTGTAAGAATGGCACTCCATCACTTGTTTCCTGATCTTAGGGAGAATCTATTCAGTATTTCATCATTAAATATGATGATAACCATTGTGTTTTCATAGGTGTCCTTATAAGGGTGAGGAAGCCCCCTTCTGTTCCTTATTGGCTTTTGGTGTTTTGTTTTGTTTTCCTTTTCTCCGGTACCAGGGATCAAACTCAGGACCTTCATTTGGGAGGCAGACACAGCATCCCTGAGCTAAATCCCCAGCCCTGGCTTAGAGTTTTTATTTAGGAATAGTGTTTAGTTTACTCAAATTCCTTTTCTGTATTTATATCTAAGATAATCATATGATTTTTCTTTTTTAGTTTATTAATATAGTATAATACAATGACTGCTTTGGGTGTGTTAAACCAATGTTGCATTCCTTGGATGAACACTACTTGGTCAGTATGTACTGTCCTATTATCAGATTTTATTTAATAAAAGTTTATTTGTAATTTTTGCATCTTTTTTTCAAGAATGTTTCTAGCACGTAGCTTTCTTGTATTGTCTTTATGGGGTTTTAGTATTAAGGTAATGCTGTCCTTACTTAATGAATTGTTAAGTATCTTCTTTTCCATTTTGAAAGACTGTATAGAATTGGTGTTATTCTTTAATGTTTGGTAGATTCATAAGTGAAGTCACCTGGACCTGGAGATTTTAGTAAGAAAATGTTTTTGCTACAAATTCAATTTCTTTACTAGATACAAAGATATTCAGAGTTATCTATTTCTTCTTGGTTAAGTTTTGGCTTTTTTTTTCAATAAACTTATCCATTTAATCCAAGTTTTCAAAGGTATTGGCAGGAATTTGTTAATATTTCTCTTTAGTACCTATAGATTTTTGGTAGGGTAACTTCTGTTTCCTAATACTAGCAATTTTAAGTCTCTTTTTAACTTGGTTTGGCAAGAGGTTTATTAAGATTTTTTGGCAAGGTTTTTCTCTTGATTTTGTTTTATTTATAACTGCTCTGATCTTTATTATTTCCGTTCTTTGATTTATTTTGGTTTTGTCTTCTATTTCACTTTTTTTTTTTTTTGGTGCTGGGGATCGAACTCAGGTCCTTGTGCTTGCTAAGCAGGCAGCGGAACCACTGAGCTAAATCTCCGGCCCTATTTCACATTTTTTAAGTTGGAAGCTGAGGTGACTTGTTTGAATCCTTTTTTTATAGGTGTTAAGTGCTATAAATTTCCCTTAAGAACTGCTTTACCAGCCTCCCACAAAATTTAACATACCATTTTCACTCAGTTCAAAATACTTAATAATTTCCTTTTCATTTCTTCTTGGACCCATAGATTATTGAGAACTGTGTAATTTAGTTTTTATCTCGTAGGAACTTTCCAAAGATTACAGATTTTTAATTTAATTCCATTTTTGTCAGAAAACATACATGAACTCTTTTTACACCCATTGAGATTTTTCATATGTTCTCTGTGTACTTGAGAAGAATTTATATGCTCCATAAATTTTAAGCGTATCAAATTTATAGTGATGCTCAAGTCTTCTATATTCTCACTGATTTTCTACTTCTATCAATTATTGAAAAAGGGATATTGTGAATCTGCTAGTTCTCTTTGCAGTTATCTTATTATTTTTTTTTTTTTAATATTTTAAAGCTCTTATTGTACCGGTATATATAAACATTTAGGATTTTTATATCCTTTTCATTGAGTCACATTATGAAAACAGCACTGTACTGTATGTTTATAACATGTAAAAGTATGACAACAGTAACATCAGAAGAAAAAAAAAGATAGCTATTACATGTTATTTTTAACCATAGCTTTCATTGTTCTTCCCCATATACTTCACTCAAATGTCATTCAACTTAATTCTGCCTTCTAATTGCTTTATGATTGAGGCAGTAAAAAGGATATGCCTAGTTATTTTCTAGAAATATGAAAGTAAGTTGAGTCCTTAAGGCTACGTAAAAGAACCTCCCCATGGATTCACCCTGTCTGATTGGGGGGGGGGGTGGTACTGAGATTTAAATCCAGGAGTGTTCTACCACTAAGCATTTATTTGCTTATTTACTTATTTATTGATTGATTGAGAGAGTCAGGGTCTTGCTAAGTTTTCCAGGCTGGCCTTTAACTGGGGATCCTTCTGCCTCAGCTTCCCAAGTAGCTAGGATTACAAGTGTGTGCCACTGCCCAGATACAGGCTAGCACATCTTCTCTTGTTGAAATGCCCATTGACAAGAAAGATGTTTTGTTGTGAATTGTTCAGGCATTTCCTTTAGGGGAAGCGGCCAATCAGTGTTGTGGTTTTTCACTTGCTATCCTGACAATGGTTTTGTGGCTATTATGATAATACTTTTGTGGGAATTCAGGCCTCTTTTGGATATCCTGTTAAGGCTTGCTCCGTAAGGTTCTTACTCTTTTCTAGGAGCCAGCACCACTCTTTGACCTTGCCATGCTTGCCTTAGGAAGTCCTGAGAGTGGCTGGACTGAGGAAGATGGTCCCAAAGAAGGACTTGCTGAATACATAGTTGAGTTTCTGAAAAAGAAAGCTGAAATGCTGGCAGACTATTTCTCTTTGGAAATTGATGAGGTATGATGGCAATTCTTATACTTTTGTTGTATTCTTCAGATGAGTTACATTCCTGTATGAGGACCAGAAGACTAGACCTCTCCCAGAAGCAGCATGTGACCTGAAACATCCTCTCCACTCCCCATTTGCATTTCTAGGTTACAAACTATACTATCATCCATTCATGCCACTTTTGTTCTCAAGATGAAGGACCCAGATATGAGGGGGAGATGAATCCCAGAGTCCCAGAAGGCCATAGTAAATAAGACTGTAGCACTTCCTCCAGTTTCTTCGTATTACCCTTTCTTTGGGGATTTTCATCCTGATGCCTTCTTCGATTAGTGAGCAGATCCAAAGGAAAGATTGTTCTGCTGCACGTCAGAACAGAAAGCTGTTTTAACTGCTTAGCTCTTCTGCCCCCAGTGCCCAGCCCAGCCGAATACCTAGAATCCCAAAGTGGCAGGTCTGAGGACAAGGCCTGGGGAAGCACTACAGAGAAATGTAGTCCATTTAAACTGTAACAGCATTATTTCTTAACCCCTCTGGCCATTTCCCCCTGCAGGAAGGGAACCTGATTGGATTACCCCTTCTGATTGACAACTATGTGCCCCCTTTGGAAGGATTGCCTATCTTTATTCTTCGACTAGCCACAGAGGTAAATAATCAAACAGATAGTAAGGGTATGTTTATGTGTACTTAAGGGAGAGGGTGCATGATCACATCTCCATCTGAACTATCGATGATAAGGGTAAAACAGCTGGCAGCCCCATGATCACCAATATTCATCAATAATTACTTAGCAATCCAATGTATAATTTTAATGCCTAAAAAGCCACATTGCATTTTTTAGCCACATTTAGAAATGAAAATGTTTAAAGTATTACTTGTCTTGAAGTATTGAATTCTTTGAAACAGGTAAATTGGGATGAAGAAAAGGAATGTTTTGAAAGCCTCAGTAAAGAATGTGCTATGTTTTACTCCATCCGGAAGCAGTATGTATCAGAGGAGTCGACCCTCTCAAGCCAGCAGGTACTGTAGTAACGAACACTGGCGCTCTAGGAATGGGATGGGCCCCCACACAGCCTTTCATGTCACTGTATATAACAAGGTTCAAACACAGTGGCCAGCTTTTGTTTATTTCCTTTTGCTGGTCTAGAACATTTACCTCCAGAATGATTTCAAAAGCTGTCAGATGTACAGCACAAGCCATCATGGTAAGAGAGGAACCTGAGTTAGACTGTCCAAGGCTGCTAGGTCTGTAGCTGCTTTTGTAGGCAGTTAAGTCCAAGTCTTCAGATTCTTGGTCAGACTCCCTAGTCTGTTTCTGCCTTACATCTCACCACTGCACAAGGCTCTAGAATTCCCCTCACAGATCAGCTGGATTGGGTTCCTAGTTTGTCTTTTTTCTAGTCAGATAACAATGTTTTTGAATCAGAACATCAGGGAAGGGGAGAGAAAAGGGTAGAAATAATGTAAGAACCACAGGATACCCACTTGAACATATCATCACCTAGTGATTGCTTACAACCATCCCTTGAGGTGAAGTGGTCTGCTCCAGTTTCATCCATGAGGAAGCCACAGGACAGCTGGCATGCTCAAGGATTCCCAGAGCCTTTAGGTGGCAGAGCAGAGATTTCAGTTCTGGATCTGTTGGCTACTGCTTCTAAGAAATTTCTCACTCCAGTGAAGAAGACAAGGCAACGCACTTGACAAACTGCTAAGAATATCTTTTTGATTGGAAAAATATACTTCTGGGAAAAGACAGATGACAACATTTTTGTGTACATGAGTCAACTAAAGCTTAGGAGAGGAATGACAAGACAAAATTATCATTTTTTTCATCTGTGGAGCTTTTAGGAAAACATGGCAGCTTGAACTTGGTGAGCTAGGTATTTCCACCTGTTGCCGTCCAGACATCAGTCAGGATCAGACAGTGTGTTAGATGCTGCTACTGTCAGCACATCCTCCCTGAATAGAATAGAGGTCCCACGGGAGATGGGAGATTTTTCCCCTCAAAAATTTTGTTCCATATGTTCAGGCCTGTGGGCTCCCCAAAAAACTGGTGTAGAGAGGCCACTTACCAAGTCTAGACCACACAGCCCATTACAAGCCACAAAGACTTTCCAGACCCAGTGCCCATCCCATCAGCCAGAAAGCCAGTTTGTACCAGGAGACTTATGACATCTAACGTCCATTCCAGAGTGAAGTGTCTGGCTCTACTCTAAACCCCTGGAAGTGGACTGTGGAACACATCATCTACAAAGCCTTCCGCTTACACCTAACGCCTCCAAAACATTTCACAGAAGATGGAAATGTCCTGCAACTTGCTAACCTGCCAGATTTATACAAAGTCTTTGAAAGGTGTTAAATATGATCATTTATGGTGTCTTGAGGTGTTTTGTTTTGTATCCCAATGTTGTAGGTAGGACTTGAGGTTGAATATTTGCACTAGTAGCATACCTTCATGCACAGTGGATTGACTGTAAATAAATTGTCAGATGTGTCCTAATGTGATTTCCTTCATTACACATGAAAATTTTTCTAAATCTATTTTTGCTTTTCATATACCAAACTCTGTTCAGGAATCCCAAAAGAAGTCTGAAAGCCATTGCAAATCTGATAGTGCTCTTCAGGGACCATTAAGAATTCTGAAAAGATCTTGAAGGTTTCCTAGATCATTCTCTGATTCTTCCTGTATTCTGGTAAATTTCTATTAAGTGCTATATATGTGTGTGTGTCAGTCCAGATGCCTATTAAAAGAAGACTTGAACAAGTAAAAGACTGTTAACATCAGCTATTGAGAAAGGCTGAATTAAGAATCTGTATCCCGGGCTGGAGATTTAGCTCAGTGGTTTTGCCTCCTGCTGCACAAGCACAGGGACCCAAGTTCGATCCCTGGTACCAGAAAAACAAACAAACCAAACAAACCAAAAAAAAGAATCTGTATCCCTTCGATCTCTGGTTCCCAAAAACAGAAGAATCTGTATCTTCAGTAACCAAAGCTAATTTATTAAGACAAAAACTTGAGGGAAGAAAATAGTCCTAATCCATTCTCTTACTGGTATAAACGTTTTGAGTTGGTCTACTCTCTTAATGGCTATGACTACTAGCCACTTAAGAAATTTCTAGGCATTCTTGTTTGAAGAATAATGTAAAAGTATATATTTAAACTCCTAAGTGCCAAAATATGCCACCTTAATATTAACCTACATTGATAGAAATAGAGCCTTCAGCACAGGAAGACTGCCTGAAGTTTTAATATAAAATACAGGTACAGTGGTTTCTTAGTTCACAAACTTAGTTCTTTCTACAATTTAGTCGGAAACTGAATTGTGTGACAAATTCACTGGTTAGGCGCAGTGTTGACATTATGGGGAAATCTGATTCAGTTCTCATCCAATTTGGTTTGCAACTAGATGTATGGAAAGAATTAAGTTCATGAACTGAAGTACCACTGTAAGAGGACTCAATAAAGTTCTGTAGAAAAGAACAAAATATGAAGCCGTTTCATATGAAAGACTGGGACAACAGAATGGAAGCAACACATTTGTCATGCTATAAAAAAGGCAAGATCAGTTTCTGGCAGTTAAAACTCTGAACAGCAGACTGGGGCATTTCAGAAATGAGGCTCCATGAGCCCAGGGGGTGCACAGGCAAGTGACCTTGAGTGTGGTTTCCCAGGGGAGAGATGGACCACACTGTGTTAATTCCAGTTGGGGGACGGGAGGGTAAATCTTCATTTTCAGAACATCCTCTCACCCACCACCAGCCACGCAACTGTTCTCATGATTAGAAAATTTTCAGGAAGTCAGTTCACTTCAAGAGATTGGTTTCCATATCTTTTAAATGAAGGGCTAATTACTCTAAAGAAGGGAACAATTATTGAAGATTTATTCACTTCTGAGTTTATTATCTAGTTTCAAGTCTAGTTTTATTATCTTAAATGGCCTTAATTCATTAAAGTTTTCCCCAATATATTTTGTCTAAGCATTTGAAGCTACATAATCATTTCCATAAAACCACCTTGATTCTGACAGCAGAAGAACATCACAAACCCTGCAAAGTGGATATATTTATAACTTGATGATTAAAAACAAAACTAACTTCAAGTTGGGTGCCTTTAGATGAAAAGTTCTTAGAAGAAAAAATTCTATATTCTATATTATTTTTCCTTCAGAGAGAAAAGAGCAGCAAGACAGGAGGGATATAGTTACCATGATTTGCTTTTAAAGGCTCCTGTATCAAAATAAATGTCAGCAGCCAATCATGGTTGGCAAAAGTGTGTTTAATAGAATCTTCAGGCAGATTTCCTACCTGCCTGCCCTGCCCCTCCCTCCACCTTAGGGCCGTAAGATGTCTGAGGTTTCATTTCACAAATAAGCAGCAGATGAAAATACTTTACAAGGTACAGCACAGTGGATATGGAAGACTAAGGACCCGACTCTTGCTTTAAGAGTAAAAAGTCTTGGACTTCCCTGCCCCATGCAGTGAAGCAAGTTTTATATACACTGCCCATGTATTCTAACATTTTCTTATATAAATTTAAATATTTTACAAAACAAGGTTTTTTTCTCGCCAAACAAATTTGAGTGAAATGCAGATTCTCAACCTGTGAAGTTGTTTTCTTCACTAAAATATAAATGCTGATAGGAAGGGTAAATGTCTGTTGCCCACTGGAGGTCACTGAAGTCTGCACCGCACTGTGCAGAAGGCACTTGTGTTTTCTGAGGTCTCCAGCAAGTGTCTCAGTGAGCACTCAGAATTGCTGTTCTCCAGACCCCAGCCAAGGCCTCCGAGTGCCCAATCACTGAGGCATCTGGGGGAAAAATGCTGAGTAAACTTGATTCTAAAATTACGGAAATTAAAAATAAAAACAGCATGGACCAGTTCTTAGTCTAGAATAAAACTACAAACAAAATACAAAGTGTTCATTCATGAAGATTCAAACCTGCTTCATTCTCATAAATTATAAAATACAAAGGTGCCTGTTTTAATGACAAAACTCAAACAGTACTGAAATGGGTTTGTGTTAATATACAAAAGGTCAGTCCCACTGAGCGAGGCCCCACGGAGCTGCACACAGGCCAAACGGCGACCTCCCTACTGCTGGGCCAGAAGTGCTGTCCTATTGGCCTTCATCTTCTCCAGCCGCTTGGCTAGGTGGCTATTGGTCATTTCCATCTCTTCAATCTTGTCCAGTGCTGTTCTTAACTGGAGACAGAACATAATCATTTTATTTGGTCAGCAACAAAACTGGTGGTACTATCAACCTTCTGGAAACAAGCACTGCTAATTGCGATGGACTTGCACAGAATCCTGGAAAACACACCCACCACCTACCCCACCCCATCCCATCCCTGGTCAGCTAAAGATGTGAACAATGATGCTAAAGGCTGATTATTTAAATCACAGAAAAGGATAGAAGCTGCAGAAACAGACGATCTGAAACAAAAATTAGAACTGCTTTTTTATTAGCTAACTGACCAAAACATACAAGTAAATGGCAATTGCTGCAAGTCCAAAACCAGCCGAAGTGAGGAACTACATTGCTGTTTCCTTAAGATTTGACCCACTATTAAATTTCTTACTAAAGAAATTTATCTCTGAAATTTTTTCTTTTAGGACTACTGTCCCAAGAAGCATATGGGAACAAGTACCTCTCGTTGTAGCTTCCTCTTTTCTGCTTTCAGTTCATCTTCAACTTTCTCTGCATTCTCAGCAGCAGTTTTATATCTCAGCACCTGTCCCTCAAGCCGGCTAATCTAGAAACAAGAATATCAGCTTCTTTTAAACGCAAAGGGGGAGAATCCAACAAAAAGAAAAAGTCATGACAAGGCTTTTAAAACTTTTAACTTCATCTCCCTAATGAGTGTATAATTCAAT